TTTATGAAAACATGAGTTGTCTACCTTAGCGAATCCGTCTGGAATGCTTTTCGTCCTCGTATATTCGAGCATCTTATGACAAAACGAAATTTTCTCAACTTCTGTGCTTGTAAACGTATCGTCTCATAATTTCTTTTAATGAATTATTTCCGTGTATGTTCGTATATTTATTGAACATAATTTAGAAGTTGTCTAAATTGCTTTTCAAACTTAATTTTGTTTAGACGTATCGCACTCCTTCGTGCTGCCATCTAGTGAACGCTCGCCTAGCGAGCGGGTAATTTTCTTCATAGGGAAATTCTTATTGCTTTGCATGTTGGTAATTCAAACTGCGCTTCTAAATACAAACAAAAATTAAAAGCTTAAATACTCAGTTAGACCAACCGTCTATTTTTTTAAGGAAACTGATCATGGTAAAAAAAAAACGATGCTTTTTATCTTTTATAACAAGTCGAAAATTATTCGGTTTCATTTAGCTTCGCCAGAAGAGCTAGCTCTCTAGCCGCTAGAACGCAGATGCTGACTACAATCTTAGAGATGTAATATTCCGCACTAGGATTTCTTCCCTTGTGATCCTTAAAGGTAAAATTTGCACCGCGACATGATTTGAGCTCAGACACGGTAATCGCATAGGTAAATTCCACGTCGAACGTTTCCGAGTAGGTTATATATATATTTTTTTTCGGGTTTTCTGATTTTATTTTCTCATACCTATGTTAGTTTTTTACGAGCAGCAATCCGTTTCAGAGAAATATCGTGTCTAAGAAATAAAATAAATTAGGGTTACTTTTTCTCACTAGAACTTTCGCTAGACTACTAGTACTAATTCAGAAGTCAAACAACAAAAATCAGCGTTAATTTACAAAATTTTCACAGTGAAAATTTTGTAAATTAACGCTGATTTTTGTTGTTTGACTTCTGAATTAGTATTTATTCGGCGTGTTATTGTGTCTTAAGACTACTAGTAGTTGAAAATTTTCATTCCCTAACAGTTTGGAAATTTGGATGTCTCAAAAACATGGTCACTTATTCTATCGCATGTAGGAATTCGAACATTTCGGCCTCTTGGGTAATATCCATTTATGTTTTCGACAATGTTGGCCTGTTCGGTCTGGTGGTTAGCCGATCCAGTTGTCACCCGGGACTCGAGTCTCAGAGAATGCATCAATGTTGTCGCAGTGTTTATCCCTTCCTTGCAGTCGCAGTGTTGATCCCTTCCTGTACTGCACTCTGAGAAATATTCTAGATGAGGAGACAACTAAATAATAGACTAAACATAACATTCAGGTCAGGCTACCGGATCTTTTTTTAATTATTATTATTTTAAAGGAACAATATATTCAAAACTCTTTTCTTTGTTACGGATTATATAAAACCTCTTTCGTGTGTTCGAAAAAGGAAGAGGAAAGTTGTTTAGATACGATTAACTATTGGATTACTGTTGCTAACTATTGTTATTATTATAATTACTGCTATTAATAACTACTGATAACTATTGTTTTGGATTGTTATTGGATTGCTATTGATAAATTGTTTAAGTATTGGATTAACGGGATCGGATCAAGTGGCGCGGAATTTGGGGGGAAGATTGCGAAGGATGATCTATGTGATTTTATACAACTGTGTTTGTTGCAAAAAACATGCAAGTCTGATTTCTAAAGAAATAAAACTCTCAAAGTAGTTTGTTTCTAAAGACTACAGTGTTTATTCATACTAGTATGTTATATCAATAACAATAAAATAAACATGATAGACTGATAATGATAAAAGTAAGAGAACTGTTTTCCATTTAATTTTTCTTCTTATGTAACATTATATACATTACCTTTATTATATAAGACTCAACTTCTTTTATTACTATCTTAAAATTTTTATAATCAGCATAAAATCTGGTCATTTTTAGACTGTAACGAGCCTTGCGATGTAGAGAAAACCCCACTGAAATTACTCTGCAACACCTAATGTATGCTGTAAAGCCCAATAAGGAAATGGTGCATCAAATGGAAACATCAATTTTGTACTCATGCGTTGAATACAAGAATTCTTCATAATCTTTTCTCACCCTCACAAGGCTTTAATTATTTCGAACACAAAGGTCTTGTACTCTGCCACGCCCGTAGCCACCTTATGACCTTGTTTCTTTTTTTCTCAGACATGAAATGGCAACATTGTGGGTGGACTTCATTATTAGCGCCTTACTTACGCATTTGTTTCAAAAGTTTTGTACAGATTTCATTGACTGTGGGTTCGGTAGCCCAGTTCTAGGTCAAGCACTAGGCTTTGTAAAAATTGCGACAGTCTTGTAATTTGCGTTCGAATGAAGTTGTTTGCTCAAATGATGATGTGTAAATATTTATGTGGAGGCTGTTTAATGGTAAATCAGAACAGTTCGATTAACTGATAGTAAGTTGTGAAATGATTGTGTTTAACTCCCGAACAAAAATGGTGTATGTCATTCATTTAGAAAGGAAACATGTCAGTGCCTCTCTTTTGACACCATTGTGCATTTGCTAATTTTGCTTTTAAATTACCGGCTTATAATTAATCAGAAATTAAGGATTGACCTATATTTTTATAGGCTGTATTTCACTTATATTAATTATTTTAAATCAGTTACTAAAATATTTCTTTGTTTGATTCTAATTTATTTTTCTTGGATGTGTAGTTTAGTTTATTTCATTTATGTACACCCCGGGGGGACAGTTTTATATCTCCCGTTTTACTGGGCCCATTGACTGAATTCAAGCTGCGTTTCTCATGTCTCGAAAGCACAACTTAGGATATATATTAGATTTATATATAGCATTGTTCTAATATAGTATTTTGACAGAAAATTGGACTTTTTCTGAAGTGGCATGCCAATTTTTTTCCATATTTGGATTCTGCGACTCAAAATTATTCCTAAATGCTGAATTTTGTAAAATTTGGTGTGAAATTAACAGAGAAATTCAAAAATGTAACTTGGCACATTTTTTTTCAGTTTGCGCCAAAAATAATTCACTTGGCGAACTTCGTAATTTATAGCAACCTTTTCCAATTTCATTTTTTTATTGCAAACGAGCCGGAAAAAACGTCATCGTTCATATTTTCAAATAATTTTAACAAAGTGCGTAAACTACATTTGGCATTATTATCGCTTATAATGAATATGCCAAATTTCAGAACGCATCAATATGTAAATTCATGTATATCTTCTAAAATTTTGAATTAAAAACTCTTAATTTTTTGCACGTGGGCCTAGAAATACATCTACTTTAAGATGAGGCTAAAATTTTTATAGGTTATAATTCAAAAGTTTTTTTCGAAAAATTTATGAAAATTATTTTAAAATACAAATTTAAAAAATAATTTATGAAAAATGGGCGAATTTTATTTGGAAAGTTAATCGAACTGTTCTGATTTTGTGTCAAAATACCTTTATTAGAACAATGCTATATGTAAAGATAATACATACGCTTTCGCACTTTCGAGACATGAAAAAAACGCAATTTGAATTGCGTCTATCGAACCAGTAGAATGGGAGATATAGAACTGTCTCCCCCCTTTTTTTAACGCAGTGTTCATTGAATTTAAATTAACTGATGGTACTCTTTATGGAATGAGTATATGCTTCCAAATGATCCAATACTGTGATGGTCGCAGTATAATTCCCAGTTATGTATATAACGTTTTTTCTTATTTGGATCCTATCATCTTGAAATCATAGTCCAGAAATTGTTCTTTTATTTGCAGAATGCAGGTATAATATGTACTTATTGTAGAACGCGACTGTGATATGAAATCATTAAAGTTTTAAAACTTTTAATTTACTTAAGTATATTGATCACTCATTTAATAATAACGTGTAGTTTTTACTTAATTCATATGTCTACTAGTGTAAAATCGTACTGACTAATATTAGATAGTTATATATAAAATTAGAAAATAATGATTACATTATTTTATTAAGGCATTGCATGCGAGGGATATTTAGCTTTCGCTGCATCCCAAGTTTTCACCGGGAATGGAATTTTAAAATCTTGTACCTCCTTCTTCCACCATTGACTCTCAAGAGGATTTTGTGTCGACAAATTTTAAGTGCCCAACATTCCCGTGATCTCCTCTATATCTTACCAGACACTCGAACCCGAGCCAAGATCATGGGAACCATTCAGTTTCTGTTAACCGCATATCATCTGGTAGAGCATAGAATGGTCAGATGAATTGATTTAAGATTTATGATTGAATGTATGAATCGATATTAATAGTTATTTTATTTTAATCGCGTGAAATCAACAAACTAATCAATGTTTTATCGCAGGGAATCTCTCCATGCATTGAACAGAATATGCTCATTAAGTGCTGATTTGTTTGGAGTAGAAAGTTGAGGGCAACGTGCTAACAGTTTATTTGTTCAACATACAGTTAAAATTTAGTATCTGTTTTCTTGTTACCTTATTAAATGTAAAATTTAACTTTCATTATGAAGATAAGTTTCCTAGACAGTCCCCCCCCCGTCATGTTTGTATTTGAGAATACCCACATCCTGTTTTTGCACATAAATACATTCATTATCTAATCTTCTGAAATTCATTAATTGATTACCAAGTCAATATGTTAGAATTTGGGGCTTATTTATTTTTAATGTCTGAGGTTTTCACGCATCAAGAGATCGAAAGTGTCTATAGTTTAATTTTTCTTTTCACTGAACCAATTTATTTTAAAAATCAGTTCATATCAAATAAGGAAATAATTGATTATTACACAAAATCTGAAAAATAATTAATTTAATCACTTTGCTAATTAGAAATGTTAGGAGGTGAACTGCTGAGATAGAGGTAAATAAGGTATACTAGCTGATGATGGGTAATATATAAATATGTAAAATATTGACATTTTCAATGTACGTAAAACCTAAACATTGATCGTATTAAAACTGCACTAAAAATTGTTAGTCATTACTTAATTTTATATAAAAATTCATTCCATAATATATTATATCTAACGAAACTTATTTGCAGGTATCTTGACGTTAATGACATTTCCAGAATGCCTGAAGATTTGAACATTTTTAAAGATCTGGAACGCTTGTAAGTAAAACGTTTGTGTATGGATCTTTGTCTTAAAAAGGAAACAAAGACAGAACAAAAATAGTCTGTAATTGCAGGAACTCTTTATCCTCAATTATTTCATTCCGGTTAACTGTGGAAATTGGTTAAAATTATCTGTTTCCTCTTATTTACGACATTTTTATTTCTATATCATTCTATGTTAGCTCACGAAGTGAATGTTATGAAGATAACTCAAAGTCAGTAAATTTTTGTCTCTGTCTTTTAAATTTTACTGTGTCTTTTCGTGTGACTGACCTCTAATAAAGTATTAGCTGTGTTTGAAATGTTTTTAAATATTTTATTCAGAATTTTAACTAAAATTTTCGCATACCCAACTGGAATCAGAGCCCTCGCGGATAATCGGGTTTGTCATTCCTCTGTTAAATATGTAACTGAGCCCCTTTAATACGGTCGAAGACTTCGCTTGGATGCGTGAAACGGCGAGTAAAAACTAATGTTATATAAAGCAGGATATTTGTATTTATACATAATTACGGTTAAGTTTAAATGAAGAAACATTAAATAAAGTAATAATAAAACATTGTGTATATTGCAATACATTATATTCTGCGCTACTTAATAAAGTAAAATATACAGTACATTACAGTACACCCTCTGTCATTATTAAGGATTTTGAGATGTAATCAGAAAAAGCGTGAGAATTGATGAAATACTGTTCTTGTAGTGTACATAATAACGTAATAATGAAAATAAAACGATTTCTAGAAGCAAAAGTGGGAAGAAATTAAAGAAGTATTTCGGATACCGAAACAAAAGCAAGTCAAATACTGACTCCTGATAGCCAAGATTTTCTACTAATATATTTCGAATCATCAAGTTGGAATTTGAGGGTTTCGTGTAACCTGAGGTTATACAAAAGATTCCTTAGTGACGATTTCTAGGAATTGTTGGCGGTGCGTGAGCTGTATCCAGGACTGCTGTCACTTCATCTCATTTCAAAACTTACTATTACCTCCCATCTTTTTTTCTCTCTCTTCGCTGCTATAAATCTAAAAAAAATCAAACTGCGGATACCGATTCGGCGGATATGGGGACACGACCGTACTTATTCTTATTTAAAAGAGGAACATTTAATTTTCCCCACTCCGTTTATTTCAACTTTATTTCAACTTATTTTTTTTCTCCTACTTTATTTCAACAGAGACTATAAGAATTTATTACACTTTGTACTCAAGAAGGGGGGAGTGCTGCTTTATTGTCAGTAATAAAATCACACACACAAAGGATATGTACACTGCGGGAAAAAAAATAAAGGGACAGTTCAATATCTCCCGTTTTAGTGTGCCTATTGACGAAATTCAGCTTGCGTTTTTCATATCTCCAAAGTGTTACTTAGGATATGTATTAGATTTATATATTGTTCTAATACAGGTATTTTGACACAAAATCGGACTTTTTCTGAAATGACATACCAATTTTTTTCTATATTTCGATTCTACGACTCAAATCATGCCAAACTGCCAAGCTTTGCTAAAATCGCGCTAGTAGTTTTAAAAAAATTAGCTCTCAAAGCTTTAGCTTCTCAGTATTTAATTCACTTTGATGTATATTTATTAATATCTCTTTTTTTATTAAATTTATTTGATTTCTCCTTTCATATTTCAAAATTTGGGTTCATTTCAAATAAAATTCTCCTATTTTTTATGATTTATTTTTAAAATTTATGTTTTAGGTAACTTTTGTAAATTTTTCAAAAAAAATTTCAAAAATTATTTTTTAAAATTCAATTTTTCAAAAAAAATTTATTTACAACCCATAAAATTTTTTCCATCGTCTTAAAGTATTTCTAAGCATACTTGCAAAAAAATTACAGTTTTTTATTCAAAATTCCAAAGATATACGTGAATTTACATTTTGGCGCGTTTTCAGATTTGTCGTATTTATTATAAGAACTGAAAATGGGGTTGACGGACTTTGTTAAGATTATTTGAAAGTATGAACGATGACTTTTTCCCCGCTCGTGGACAATGAAGAAAAAGGAGAGGAAAATAAGTTGCCATAAATTAGGAAATTCGCCAAGTAAATTAGTCTTGGAGCAAACTAAAAAAATTTCGCCTAGATAATTTTTTTAATTTCTCACCAAAAATTACAAAATTCAATGTCTAGGCTTAATTTGAGTCGTAGAATCGAAATGTGGAAAAAAAATTGTATGTATTTCAGAAAAATTCCGATTTTGTGTCAAAATACCTATGTTAGAACAAAGCTATTTATAAATCTTATATGTATCCTATTCTAAGTCGCGCTTTCAAGATATGGAAAACACAATTTGAATTTCGTCAATCGGCCCAGTAGAACGGGAAATATAGAATTGTCCCATTTTTTTTTCGCAGTGTACTCTAGTGCAAAATGTAAATTTATTTTTATATTATAACTTAAGCTTGAAAGGAAAACTAGCGATTTGAATAAGTGAACTTTTAAATTTTCAAGTGTATTCAGTAAAAGTTTGTACTGTTACTGTCTACTGCACACACCTGAAATAGACTACATTTTTAGAATTGCCTCTTTAACAACTGCGGCTAAATGTATTCTTTGTCAGCCGCAACTGTTTCACGTTTATTTCTTTCAGATTTTCATGAAAACTTAGTACTAATATGGAATTTTTACAATTTGTTTTTCAGAGATCTCAGCAATAATCAGATTACCGTTTTGCCTGACAACATAGTCTCCAATTTGAGCAAACTGTCAACGCTGTAAGTACTGTCAATCTTATTTAAATATGTGAAGATTTTTATTTTAGCGTCTGATATTAATAATAATTATAGTCCTTTTTTTTGATCATTTGCTAATTTGTATACAGTAACATTTACGACAGATAAATTAAACATTTCATATATTTCGCGTATGAAAAATACTTTTATTAGGATACTTTCCCATAATCAACACAATATCGCAAAGTTTTTCGTGCCAAATTAAATATAATTATCAATCAAAAAGGAAACTTGCTTAATGCATTGTTTTCTCATGTTAAACAACGGTTACCAGACAAACTGTTGTGTACAACACTCAGCACTTTTCTGAAGTAGAAGTAGAACTAGAGAGAAAGTACAGTTAAATTGATCTTTGTTATTTTAGTTCTATGCTCATATTTACAGCAAGGCTGGATTAACCATTAAGCAGTTTAAGACACTAAGGAAAGGAGGCACCAAAACATTTTTCATTGCTGGTTTTGCTATAGAATACATGGTGCAGCTAAATCAAAACTTAGATAGAGATGGAAGGAAGAAAAAATAGGCCTAAACATGTGTCGAGGTACCCAAATCTTTAAAATGTTAGGTCCTCTAAATGTCTTAATTAGACCCGATTTAAAGGTTCGTCTAAAAAGAATTTGCTCAGATTATAAAAACGTATTAATGCAGAATTTTTAATGTATCGAAGTGGACATATAGTGTAAACTCAGATTTGGAAAGAAAATTTTTGATGGATCTGCAATAAAGATAACAATGAGAAGCTCCTACTGGATCAAGAAAAATGGATAATCTATTATTTTTGCTCCGTTCGGAAATTCTGGTCGCACATAAACTTCAGACATAATGTAATGGTTGATCATTTTTTTTTTATAGTATCGTTTTATTTTACGAAATGAAAACTTACAGAGTCTGGCTTTCAACTGCTGTCACATCTAGCATAAGTGCTTAGCGAGCTTAATGGTGTAACTTGATGAATCAACATTTAGACAGTATTTTAATTATATCAGACTAACGTTTCAAAATTAACACCGAGAAATTTAAATCAGAACTTCAGAACTTATTAGGCCATACCTGAGGTACAAAATCGTGATACAGATTGAAATATTGTTACATTGCAGGCTGCTACAGAATCACTAAATTAGCAATTTACCGTTGAAACTTATGAAAGAAAGCCTTTCTAAATGTTCTGATTTAAAATTATTAAATAAAACATCCATTGTTATTATCCATATCCGTATGATCTTATTTTGAGAATAAGCTGTAAGCATTGTGGATGTTGGAACCTCTTGCACTTCGGTATATTCTGTTACAGCCATCACAGCTGTAACTCCATAATTCAACGGACATAGAATAAAATCGAATCCCATGAGCAGAAACACATATTTGCCGGAATTTCTTTAACCTAACTACTAATTTAAAAACTAGACTGCTTGTGGTATAAGCAAAATATTAGTGATTAATACCAAAATGTAATGTTGATTTACTTAAATGCATTAATATTTTCGGAAGTAGTATTTGTAATTTTCTTAAACAAAAAACATAACGTACAGTTATTATCTTCTAAAAAAAATTCAGAAGTTTTTATATCATTTTATTATACCTTTATGCATATTTTTTTCAATTTATTTTGTAGCATTTTGAGTTACAACAAACTGCAGTGCATCCAAAAAGACAGTCTTTTAGGATTGAAATCTCTTCGAATTCTGTGAGTAATCAATCACATTCCCTTCCTGAATGTTTCATAGTAATTGTTTCTTAAAATTTATTATTAAATCTTTTTATTCAGATGAAATTTTATGCTTTTCCCAATCTCCCTCCCTTCCTAATATCCCCCCTTGCCTCATTATAATAAAATGTCAGAAAAATGTTATTTAATTGTGGAAAATTATCTGAAATATATTTTAAACACTTTTGTGTAAAATATAATGAATATTTCGAGAAGTGTAATAAAATAGTTTGTGCATTATTTATTCTTTCCAGTATTTAATGTTTTTCAGACTTGTTGGCAAACAAACTTGTTGGCATTTTGAGTTTGTTGTAAACCAACAAACTCAAAATTAAGAAGCTTAAAACAAATTCGTCTGTTTTAAACTTCTAATATACTATATCTGTAGCAATTTATCATAAAGTTATGCAAAATTCGTTTTTTAGCTGTAATTCAAATGTAAGAATTCAGCACTTATTACTGTAATCAAGCTTATATATGAATTAATAATGGATTCCCTTTTTAAAAAATAGACTAATGGTATTATCTTTCCCCCCATTCATTAGTAATTGTTAAACGTAAATAAAACTTTATTTCTAGAATTCAAACGCCATATTGTGAGTGGAAGTCATCACAATAACTTTAGAAACTAAGATAAAAGACTTTTTGAAACTTTCCTTACTGTTTTTAAATTTAACTTTGCGATTTGCCTAAGATTTCGTTTCTTATTTCAGTATCATACGAATTATTTAAGTCATAATTATTTACAGTAAATATATGTGCGCTTAAACACTCCTTCAAATCAGCCTTAGAACAATAAAGACAATCAAACGACTTATCGTCCTGTCAGATCTAAAGTGAAGTTCTTTATTCTTCTAAACTCTAAAGAAGGGTTAGAATAAACCTTTTTATTTATACATCAGCTCGATGGTTACACAAGCTATCCAATTACAAAACAGCAAAAGCCACTACTTGCAGGATAGCATTAAACAAATGAGTCAGCTAAACTAAAGGGTCAAATGCAAAGTAAAACGCGCCTACTGAAGTTCTAAATATTTTCACGAAGCAACTACTAAAGCTAAAGCGATTAGATACCAAAGACTACCAAAGCTAAAGCGATTAGATAATTCAGTAATAGGGGGAAGTAAAAAAGTGATCAATTAGCGATGGTTGCCTAAAGTTTTCGAATGCGAGATTTCTACGCTTAAACGCATTAATTAGTTTTCATGCAGATTTGAGTTGACGAAATTAGAAACGAAAGTATAGGCAAAATAATAAGATAACCGGTTAATTAACATAAATTTCTACAAATGAATCGGCGTGTACGAAAATATAATACACGTGCTTTAAACCTTTACATTTTACGTAGTATACGATCTTAAATTTTTTAACTTATTTCAAAATTATCGTTTCCTTCTATCGCGTTTTTGCGCAATTTACTGACACTTAAAAGCATTTTTAATAACTTTTTTTTTAAAATGTAGTGGTGAGTTGAAGAAAGAAGCAATGCACATTTCTTTGACAGATAAATTAAATGCAGGATATTCTAATTAATTTATTGAGCTTTATGGAGATTGCTTTTTTGTAAATACTACGTTCTTTTTTCAGATGATCCACAAATGGCATCAAATTTAATTTCCTTTCAGAAATTAAATTTGACACTTAATTTCTGAAAGAAAATTAAATTTGATGTTGTATTATTATCGTTTTATAATGACTTTTCGTTTTATTTCAGGTCATTACAAGGAAATGATATATCGATGATTCCCGATGGGGCTTTTCGAGAACTTGTTTCTATAACTCATATGTATGTATAAATTAATGTTATTTCAAAAATTTTCATTACTCACTTTTATTTTTTGAAATTTCAGTGATAAAGATTCTTTTATATGTGTATTAAAAGCAGCACTTATTTATATTTTTAATTTTTATTTCTGTAACATATTATAATGACACGTAACGCGTAAAATTTATATTTCTATAACATATAATTACTTAATATAAAAAAGAAAATTGACAAAACTTACTATTCACTAACAAAACTAACTTAAACTATTCGTGCTCTTTCTTACTTATTAACTTTGTTAATTATTATTATCAAGAAGAGTTATTTCCTAAGTTATTTCCTATTTAGTTCATAGACAGGTTTTAATGAATTGTGCAAATGTAAAAAGGTTTCTTGAAACTTAAAATTTTTATTATGAATTGTTATCTGATGAATGATTTTTAGATGCCTTTATATGATTTCTTTTTTCACATCTCGAATTTCTGTAACAGAACATTTTTGTTAACACATTTGTAATTCATGATAATTTGTTTGATTCATACGAATTTGTATGTTTCCGTTCCTGCTTATCATAAACATGCCCGTTTTCAGCTTTATTGCACACCACATGCTGTTAAAAGTGAATGTTTAAAATAATTTTCTTGACAGCAAAATTCGTTATTTAATAACATTCATTATTTAATAAAAGAGACTCAAAAATTATTTTGACAGTTCCGTCCTTGATAACATCATCCGCTTCCGATTAAATGTTATTTGAAATCTACCAGTATTTTTATGAAATTATATATTATGCGTAATTCATTTACTGATAATTAGATTCTGCTCGTTTTTGTTTTTAGAGCTTTAGGAGCTAATCCTCTTTACTGCGACTGTAACCTACGCTGGCTTTCTGAGTGGATTAAACAAGATTACATAGAACCAGGAATTGCGAGATGTGCGGAGCCTCGAGCTATGAAAGACAAATTGGTACTGACAGCTGCATCAAGCGGTTTTGTTTGCACAGGTTCGTTCTAAAGGCATTAATTAAGAAAATGCAGTATTATTCAAAAATGAAATTATTTGTGAAGGAGTTCGGCATTATCTCTTACTTTTGCTCCAAATAATGATTCAAGGTTGGTGGGGGGAGGGACGAAATGGACTTATCCGTTGTACTTAAGTCTATTTAGATTATATTTATGAATAGTATATCTTGTATTTATAAAACAATAGATAGAATTTTGAAATATCAAGCAGAAAATCACCAGACTTTGATTTCTTCTTTTTTCGTTAGCAATATTTGAATCAGAATTGATATAATTAAGAATTTCCTGCAGTTATGTGTTGAATAGAATTGGCTTCGACCATAAAAATTTGGGAATAGTTTTTAAACATGCATGTTCTCCTTTTTTAAAATGAACGTGTTTAAACAACCATGATAGTGAGGATGAAGTAGTTAGAAAAATTAAGAAAAGGATGACAAGTATTTAGAGATAGTTAGAGAGAGAGAGAGAGAGAGAGATTCTCTAAATAAAATGTAAAATATTGTTACGGATTTTGTATTTATTTAGATTTTTTTAGTAGAATTGTAATTAAAATTGTTTTATTTCCCCGTGCAATGCAGCGCGTGACGAGTCTAAGGAGAAAGCGACGCCGAAAAGGTAAAAATACAGGAGCACGCGCATTTAATAAATAGATATCTCGTAACTTACATTCAAATTGAATAAATGCAATTGTTTGTTAGCTGTAACTGTAATTCTACTCTTTTGCTTTCCAGAAACCTCGAGAAAATAAAAATTACCAGAATGTTCTCGTGCATGATTAAAAAGCCGAAGCGAAATATCTCAGTTGAGTTGTTTACTTAGTGCTATTATTGATTATAGCGAATTCGCGGTGAGATTGGATTAGCTTTCTCTGTCTTTTGAATTGAGTTCTGGTTAACGTTTTAGTACTTTAAAATATAACTATTATGAGATATTGCGATACTGTACGAATATCTCTGAGGAAATTTCAGCATTTCGTTTTATTTCATGGAATAAGAATCACTTTTATGAGCTTTTTATCGACTTCTGCATTCAATCCATTACAAAACCGTACGCACGCAACAATATGAAATATGAAAGACAAGTACTAACAAAATTAGTAACTTCGTTGACAGTAGACCTTTTAGTTCTAATTTTATTTAGATACAACCACTTCACAGGACCTGTGCTACGCCATTTTACGTCGGTAATTATTCTTCAGTAATCCGCATTGCTGCAAGGTCTTGCCCAGTCGCTGTTCAGGATTGAAACGAGGAACCGAGCCTATAAATACTTCAATTGTTCTGTGTTGTGTGCACTTAACTTTTCCACTCGTATGTCGCCTAACTAGCATCTGTACACCGCTCTGTAGTTTCCATGCATTGTTCTAAAAATGGAATTGCGTTTTATATAAAATTGCACACATCACAATGGTGCAGATTGCACCCATTGTGATGAGTGCTTTTTAAAAAGTGCGTTGCTAAAGAATTATTCCTATTCAGAAATAAATATGAATATTTAATCTTCATGACGGCTCCAGTTGATTGCACTTGCGTCGTTATACATTGTACCGCCACCACCATTGCAGATACTACTGTAAAATGATTGGTGCCTTTTCTGACTTGCCTCATTTATTTGAAATTTCAGTCATCTTCTGCGCCATGGGTATTTCAACTACCTTCTAATTTCATTCCATTCTGGCCTTAATTAAAAGCTAATTGTTTTCATCTTGTATCCAAAATCATTACAAATATATTATATACATATTATTGAAAACATTTTTTCATATTTGCAGCTTGGAGCATTCATAAATATCTTAGTTTTTGGCAAGAGATACATCAGTATAAAAGTCAACTTTCGGAAGCCGAGATGATGAACTTCCTGAATTAGAACATGCAGTTTATAAAGATATATTTATCAAATTCAAAGAACACACGTTGTATTATTTGCAACGTGACACGCTAGTGTTATTACCGAGAATTTTCCGTTAATTATAACAACAAAATCCTTAACTGTTTACCGTGCTCTGTAACAGATGCTTTTCGCAGTCGAGGATGTTTGCTTTCAACATTTTTTCGAATAATAATTCTTCAATTCTCTGAATGTCACTTTTATTTCTAAAATCATCGAATTTCTCTCATTTTTCACCCATATCCACTGTGATTTTCTCACTTTTTATTATCAAGAAATTAATTACCGTGTGATAACAGAAAGTGGATGTATTTCATATATCGAAGTCACATGCCTGAAAACAGTTTTCGGTAAATTTTAGTGCAGATATTTTTTCGCACAGCTCTAGAAATATAGTTTATTATAATTATTACTATAATTTTTATTAAATTTTAAAATAATTAAATTTCTAAAATTTTCGTATGACATAAAGTAATTACACCTTAAGTAATGAAAAGTCATCTTAAATGAAATACAGCACAGAAATTTTAAAATGAGTTTATGAAATAGATTTTTTTCAGCTGGTACTTGGTTTTTACAGGAAAACCAGAAGCAGAAGTGCTTGCGAAATGCGATGCCTGTTACACTTTTCCTTGCCAGAATGGAGCGACATGTAGACCCAAACCTCTTAGAGATTATGAATGCATTTGTGCTCCTGGCTACCATGGCATTAACTGTGAGTATGTCATAGACGCTTGCTATGGAAACCCTTGCGAGAATGGTGGAACATGCAAAGTGTTGGAAGCAGGACGGTTCAGGTACGTGTGCAACTAACTGTACCTAAATATGCTAAAAGTAATTTTGGATGTTTCGTAGTATCTATACGACATTAAACACCGGACTGTTACCTTTCTTCAATATGGTACAACGTCAATTATCTGAATTCACTTAAACGATCTCGGTTAGTGAGTTTATTTGAATAATCGATTTTCGTATTTTTTATAAGGCTGTGTTTCTAGTAAATTATTTATTTGTCGACCATTACTACTCCGAACATTAAGTATCTTGTTTCAGTATTAAATTATGTGTTTTAAAGAGAACAACAAATAATAGACGCAGCTAATGATTTTTCCCATTAAAATCTGCCGTAGAAAGCAAGCCAGCGAAATTGCATCTTAGCACAGTAGAGAGCAAAGCTGAAGTGCGTAGTTATGCAAGATGGAAGCACGCGAAGAGAAAAGTTTTGGTTTGCAATTTGGTGATTGGTCAAGAGGCATCTGCATTAAAAAGTTACGTAAGATAGAAAATCTGGAACCTGTGAGAAGAGATAAATTTAGAGGCAGATCACCAAATTTAGAATTAATTTTGAAGTTGCCATTATTTTTTGAAACAGCTATATATTTTGTGCTCTTACATATCGCCCCCTTCAAAAAAGGTTAGGTGAGCAGGGTGGAAGAACAGATTAGAGCAGAAAATGTGAAAGATATATTTGACATACAAAAAATAATATTAGATTTCGAACAATAAAATTATATATATATATATATATCTGTGTTTGTGTTTGGTGCGGCCGATTGCAACTAAAAGAGAGATGCACAACTAGATCTTTTATCAGTCCACATACAAAATTTCAACTTTCTACGGCTAATTTTTGAGTGATGCGATATACATACGTACGCACGTGTAGGTATTTACGGATGTCACAAAAAAAAAAAATCTCTTCTGAATTCATTTTAAATCTATTTTACAGTCTGTTTTACAAAAACAGTCTTTTATTCTGTCCTTATGTAACAGATGTCACGCAAAAACATCATTCAGATAGATTCGCAAGCGGTTGAAATGGATATTTTGATTCAAATATGATACCCAAAATTTTTGACGGTTACTTACTTTACCCTAAATTTTTCACTAAAGAAGAATAGATAAGTAAGAAGATGGCATATCCCACGAAAGATGTGTCAACGATTTGTGGGCAAACAGCAGAGACAAAACACAGTCAAAACAACCGCAGAGTGATATTGCCTTTACAGTCCATACTGCTATCTTGTGTTCATTCCATTGAAACTGAATCTGCTTTGGGTTGATGATTATCTCAGGACAATTGATAAAAATAAGCGAATTCGTGCTTCTGTATGTAGCACAAGAATTTTCAAAATGAAGCATTTCAAAGGATTTCTTCTAATGCAATATGTGCCTTTAACTCGGACGAGTATATTTTATTGTCTTGAAATCACAAAGAATTTTTTAGCTGAGCATTTTTTCATTTGGATAATCCATATATTTAGAGTGATTAAGATCTTTTAAGACAGAAATGGATGCTACCGTTCTTATAAGTTAGTAGTACTGTCCTAACTGTCAAACTAATTACTATTTTCGTGATGATGTGGCGTTTTGTGCTTTTGTTAAATGACCGAGACGCTTTTTCTACATCTGCAAAAACACGGAGAACACTCTTTTGCAGATGTTAATAATTATGTAACAAAAAGAAAATAATCTCACTCTGCTGTTATTGAAGAAGTATTAAATGGCCAAACGAAAAGATACGAAACTTTGTGCTTTCATTCGGTATATGCCTAAAAGTCTTTTGCGTATGTTACAAGTAAAATCATACTTTTTTACAAAACTTTAAGCGCTAGTTTGAAGTGTTTTCTGAAAATTATACATTATTTCTTTCCATTTTAACAGCTGTCATTGTCCGGCTGGATATGAAGGCGATCGTTGCGAAACCAATATCGATGATTGCGTCGACAACAAATGCGAAAATAACGCAACTTGCATTGATCTAATTGAAGAATACAAATGCAGATGTAGTCCAGGATATACTGGTAAAAACGGGTTCTCTGAAATTGTTTTTAGTGCATTATTTATTAATATGTGTTTTTATGTGTTTAAAAATCTATGTGAATAATAGCATTATACTATTCACATATATCTTATTAATTAGTTATTATAAATATGTTAACAAATAAATTAATTATGAACTTTTTAAATGTGTTTTTATGTTATTTAAAACAGCATATTGATAAGAATTTCAACATCATAAATAAGAAATATCTCACGTAACAATTTATAGTTCTCGTATAATACTTTTTTTTTCATTTACGGGTGACTGTTTAATGATAGTTGATTATTCTGAAATAATGGTAGTTGCTTCTGTCATATCTCGACAAGTTGTTATAAACGAAAAACGAACTCTAACCAGAATTTTTAGTTTATGTTGTAGTTCTCATTGTTGTTAATCGAGCTATAAAAATCTCTCGGTTGGCCATTTTGGTTAACAACGATTAATATTGTAGCGTTTATCTTGGTCTACCACCACGAAATAGGGTATAGATTCAGTAATTTTGCTTTGCAGCTGCAAAATTATTTTTTACTAAATGTAAAAATCACAAATTGAATAATGCCTTGAAAGAGCATTCATTTAGAAATTATATTTCTACTTCTTGTAACTTTATTTTCATGGTTTTCATTTAGTTTGTGTTGTCTAAAGTAGGGTTTCTTAAACTTTTTTCAGTCGCGACCCCTTTTCATCACTGAGATTTTTTCGCGACCCTCAAGACCCCATAATATTTACAAAAATTTTGTGGGACCCCAAAAGTATTGCGCAAAAACTCCGACACACGCGATGAGTGAAAAATGTCCATTTTTTCACTTGTACTGTAATATATATTGCAGTGTTAGGTCATTAACTGTACTTTTAATTAGGACAGAGAACAATGTGGAAATTTTAAAAAGTTAACAGACGAAAATGACAGGGGTTCACGTGCGAAACGAGGAAAAATGAAGTTATATTATAAAAAGAATGCGTCGAAACGTTTTCGTTTTTTCTTGTCTGCATTGTTTATCTTTATCTATATTCGGATCATCGGGTAAAATTATTGGTTTAATTGTAAAATTATTATAATAACTTAAATAAAACAAAATTGCTGAATGTTGCATGGGGGTGGGTGCGCGACCACGTTTAAGAACCCTGGTCTAAAGTATAAGTTAACATTGAAACTCTAATTTTTTCTTTTTCTGAAAGAAGTGGTGGTAGAGGGAGCATTAACATTCTGACAAAACTTTCTGATTTTATTAGTACGCCGAAAGGGCCTTTTTTTTTTTTTGTTTTTTTTTTTTTCCCATTTTATACCGTTCGAGAGCATTTGCGGCTCTAAAAAGTATTTAAACACAGCATTATATTAGAATTCATAGAGAGTAGTTGAGATAAAAAAAATGTTTTATTCCGTGCAATGTTGCTATTGCTGGCATTAAAATCGTTGATTGTTTTAATCAAATAATCTTTAAAGTTTTACAATATGTGAAATAGATAATAAAACAAATTCGAAATTCAAAATTCGGGCTTCCAGGTGCACAGATTCGGGTGGAAGACTGCATTATTCAAAATTTGATGGTTCTAGATACCGTTGTTCTTTCACAGTGCGAGAAACATACATACATCCAATGCAGATTCTTCATTATTTCATTTCTTTAAATATAATACAGGGCAATAATATTGAGTGGCAACAATTTAAAAAGTAATTCAACGCTTTTTAGTGATTTCACGCAAAATGCTGTTTTGAGACTAATAGCTACCGCCCAGAAGTAGAGGAAGTTCTATAAGTTCTTTAAGAAATTCTATGAGTAGAGGTAACGGAAGAATCCTTGTTGATTTTACTTCAAAACTTTATTATTAAGTTATAAAAATGTGATTAAAATAATGCAATTAAATTGTTTATCAATTCAGTAAACAAAAATAGGAACAAAATATAGAATTAAGAATTTCAGTTTCTTTCAAACGGGAAAGAAATCATTATTTCTAATGATTCAATCCGTGGCAAAAGTGGCTGAGTGCCCTATTTTTAAGGAAAGTTGTAAAAAACTGTAATGCATAGTTTAACGTTTTGTTTATGCTTCTAATTTTATATGTTTAAAATTTAATTATATATGTTACAAATTTCAAATAATAATTAATAAATCGAATTTTAAGTGTTTATAGAATAGATAAAATATATAAAATTTAATGTACATTAAGAACTGTGGGAGGATACTCCAGGCGCATGCACCATTTGCCCGTACAAAAAATCAAACCCGGATAAATTGCTCTGTTCTGAGAATTTTGTTTTCAAGCTTAGCTAATACTCCTTCAAAAGGAGAGAAGCTTAGCTATCTCTTTCATCATGATTTTTCTTGATTCTGGATGTTCTGATTCTTTGCGCTATTATATTGCTCGACATTTAAAATGCAACACCAAGAAGGAGAGGTCATGCAAATTTTAGAGTAGACGCACGTCACTGAGTTATGCGAATGATGTGAAATGGCAGGCTCCGAGCACGTGATGAGATATAAGGGAATGAAGCGAGAATGGGCATATTGTTTGCGTTATTTATGCCAGAGAATTATCGAAGAAGTTGTTTTATGCCGGATGAACGTGTATAGAAGAGAATGAACCCGCCGTCACGAAGGCATTTCCAGCAGATAGCGATTTTACGAGAGTATAGTATCAGACTGAAAGACGGGTTGGTCTTACGTCAAATCGCAGCTGATACACACATGGATGCGAGCACGGCGCATCGGCTACGGCGAACATGGTTGGAACAAGGAAATGGGAAAGAAGGAGGGGTGCAGGTGCAGCCAGAGTGACGTGAGCACGTATGGGTCGACGCATCCGCCGACAAGCTGTGGTGGTCCGTACAAGTCACTTGTACCGCGATTTTGCAGCAATGTGCAAGATACCCCGGATATTCTCTTGTCGACCAGAACCATTTCCCGTCGATTGGTTGAATGTGGCCTGCACTCACGGCGTCCGTTAAGAAGACTGCCACTGACCCGACAGCATAGACGCCAACGTTTAGAATGGTAGGATTGCTAGAACCCCGAACACGCTGATCACAAAAGTGATCTTATGGTCCAAAAAGGGGCACGTTTAGAATGGTGACGGACTGAGCGATGGGATGACAGAATGGCGAAACGTCGTGTTATCAGAGAGTCCGCTTTATTATCCAGTAACAGTCGCCGCATACGGTGTGGTCGGCGGGAGACAGATCTATCCGGCAGTAACTGTGGAACGCCCCACCGCGCGACAACGTGGCATAGGTTTTCAGGTGCTCCTTTGCTACGATTCCAGTCACCTCTAGTTCGTATCAGGCACTATGAAGGCCCAACGATACTTGGTACTGCGGCCGGTGGCAATCCCTACCTTAGGGATGTCTATGCAAATTTTCAGCAGGAACGCCCGAAACACAAGTGCTCGATCTGCCAACATGCTCTGCAAGATATACAGATGGGCTTTCTGGCACCGTACTCTACTGACCTGTCACCAATCGAACTGGTGGGATGTGATTGGACCCGTTGCAGACTCTGCCCCTGCCTCGTCGAAGACGAAACTGTGGCAATGGTTGAAAGGGAATGAGAGCATTCCTCAGGACACCATCCGCACTCTATAGACTCTTGCCCTAGACGTGTTTCTTCGTGCATCGCTGTCCGCGGTGGTCCTATATCCTCTGCCGTTTCGCTCTGTATTCTGACTATCATTTGAAATAAGTCACTTATTTCTGCTTGCTGTCTCTGTCTTTTTTCCAAATTTCATCACTTTCTGACCACTCCTTCTTGGTGTTGCATTTTCAATGTCGAGCAGTGTATATTTTTATAACACTCATGTATTTCTACCAGGTCCTCATTAGTTAAATCTTATGAACTGGGATTTTAGTAAGTCAGTGACATCATTTCCATTAATGTACGAAGGCAGTGCATTGCTTATTTCTGCCCTCTCTGGTATTTTCAATTACTTCTGGAAAGCCACAGAATAGAGGGACCCACTTTGTTCTAATATAATGCAGCTAATTATGCATTATGTTAATAATTACAGCATTGCATTAATTATTATTATTATTGATATAATGCTTTTATTATTTTATCTCCTTTCCACAATCAACTATGTTTTCAATGGTAAAACGTATTCTTCCAAAATCTGTTATCTTCGCGCCTGATTTGATAATTTAATAATAATTATTAATTTATAATATGGCATTAATTATAATATAGTCTTATCAATTTAATTATTACTGTTATATTTTAAAAGAAAAGAGTCTTATTTTTTAAACTTAAAAAATGGTGTAGAGGTTAGTGAAGAAAACAATTGGGAATTTAATAGAAAATTGGTATGCTGTACTGTTGTTGCAAACTTGAATGAATTTTTTTAGGAAGTTTGAATTATTTTATTTCTATTTTTTATTATTTCATCATTAATTATGTTCCGTTTTTTGTAGGAAATTACTGTGAAAAGAAAATTAACTTTTGTTCTAAAGAATTTAATCCATGTAAGAATGGGGCGACATGCATAGATGAAAATTATTCATATAGGTATGTTGATATTTATTAGCATAATTATGTACACATACAACAGAAAATTATTGAATAGTAATATGATTCCTTTCTTCCTTCTATTAGTTGTGCATGTGCATTAGGATTTACCGGGGACAACTGCACCATTAACATCAATGATTGTGTAGACCATTTATGTAAGAATGGCGGGACATGTATTGATGGGGTCAACAGCTACAGATGTCAGTGCCAGGATGGTTTCTCTGGTGCGTTTTGCGAGCTGGAGAACATGGTGGATTTGTTATATCCTCAAACTAGCCCCTGTCAACATCACGACTGCAAGCATGGTAACTGTTTCATGCCTAGTAATGCAAAGGATTATATCTGCAAGTGCTGGCAAGGATTTACGGGAAAGCTGTGTGAATCTTTGACCAGCATAAGCTTTCATGAAGGTTCATACGTGGAACTTGATCCTTTACATACGAAACCAGACGCCAAGATTTCTGTAACATTTGCAACAGAGCAAAAATATGGGGTCATGTTGTATAATGGAGAAACTCAGCACCTTGCAGTTGAACTTTTCAGGGGTAGAATAAGAGTGAGTTATGATGTGGGAAATTATCCCGTTTCGACGATGTTTAGTTACGAGACTGTATCTGATGGCGAGTCGCATACCGTTGAACTGACCCTCGTGAAAAAGAATTTTACCATGCGAGTGGACAATGGCACCTCTAGAACGATTGTTAACGAAGGCGCAAAAGAATACCTGGAAGTATCCTCACCTCTTTTCATTGGTGGTATTTCAGAGGATGCAGCAAAAAGTGCTTTACGTCAATGGCATTTGAGAAATACATCAAGTTTTGATGGTAAATATACCGTTTTTACTGTTTAAAACAATAACTGTATGTTTATTTGTGTATATGATTTTCACTGTTGCTTAAGTGTATGGCTTTGTCATTATGTGCATATGAAAATTTTTTTTACTATGTTTTACTATTAGAAACACATTACAGTGGAACCTCAAGTATGTCTTGTTTGGACGCGACAAGTTGTGTTTGGAATACGACTCAAGTTCGTTGAGTCACGACTGCGCACACTACATTACCTCTTTCGGGACAGCTGCATATGAGCGTCAATGCGTCTGTTCAGTAGAAAACTTGCGCTATAACGTTGAATTTTCAAGTGATTTTATGTTTTTTCGCGTAATATTTTGTTATTAACAATGAGTTTTATTGAAGTTAATGAGAAAAGTCAAACAATGGGAAGTTAATAAGAAAAAATTGTTAACCTCACCATGAAGATGGGAGGGGGAAAGATTGTCGAAAAATATGAAGATGTCATGCGCATCCGGGACTTGACTGCTGTGTACTATGGTGTCTACGATTGTAAAAATTAAAGACGCTATTAAATCGGCTTGTGTTGCGAAGAGAGTGAAATCGATTACCAAACAAAAGTTACCGGTAATTAATTTTAGCGATGACAGTATTAAAAGCCTCATTATTTGAAGTCAAAAATCTATTTAATGGAAATGGGGAAGGGGCTAAGTACCAAAAATACACTGAAATTTTACTATAATTGCTTTAAAAATGAGTAAAACAAAGTGTACTTTATTTTAAGTAATTTATTGCTGTATTTATATGTCTGAGGAAAAATGAGTAAGATCCCTGAAGTCTTAACTGAAACGTAATTAACATGTGTATCAGGTATTCAATTTAATATATCCTTTAACCTTTTACAGTTCATAATATGGAGGTCATGACCAAATACTTATTTCTTTCTCTACATTTTATAAAATCCTTCCCCTTTCGTGACCAACGGAACGTAATTTGGTTTAGATATTTTTGAAGAATGGCATATTCTTCAAGTATGTACTTTTGATAATTTGAGCATAAAATATGCTGATAGGACTACACACAGATTACATTATAATACTATCGGTTGGAAAGCTATATGTATAACATAATGTTAAAATTGTGCAGATTTTATTATATTTGTTTATTTGCACAGATTGCTTAAAGTGACTAAATAATCTGCTGTCATCTGTGTGAAAGTAGAGGTAAGGAATGTAAAACATGTAATTCCAAAAAGCTATTCAATTTAAACTGATTATTTTAAAATATGAATAATTTTTTAATGAAATAACTTAAAATATAAAAATATTGAAACAATTCAATGTGAAAAATCTATTTTTAGGATTAAATCTGTCAGTGTAAAATTTTGAAATTCAATTTCTTTTTCCGCTTTTCAGGATTCAATTCAGACTATTGATTTTTAATCACCACTATATCAAGAATCTCAATCATGAAAGAATCTACAGTATAGATTCGCTTATCCGACGTACCATCAACTCCCCCCCCGAAAAAAGCATTAATTTATATTGTTTTCAAAGTTGATTTTTTCAATTAGATAAACATTGCACTATAGATTCCATGACTTCAAGCATTTGAAAAATATTTTTACATTCCAGGTTGTATAAAAGACGTTAGGTTAAATGGAAAGCTACTTGATTTCATGATAGCAAGAAAGCAGCAACGTGTCACCCCTGGTTGTGCAGAACTGGAACCTTGCAGAGATCACATGTGCAAAAAAGGTAGATGTATTCCAGTTGATAAAACCAGTTACGAATGTGAATGTCGGAAAGGATGGAGTGGAACCTACTGTGACCAAGGTACATATTTATTTCATTTCAGAAGGTAACTTACTCTGTATTTTACTTACAAGAAGAATTTATTCATAAGCACATAAATACTTTAATATGTATCCATAGAAAATTTATAGGAACTTACTGTAACTACCCAGTGGTGTAACTAGGACTCTTGAGCTCCAATGAGAAAAGAGAGTAGATCAACTTCTCCTTCCGCATGAATTACAACCAGGAAAAGATGAAATTCACGAGTTCCGAGTGTCAGCTTCTTTAACATTTTGTTATGACTGGCTTAGTTAATAAACAACATAAGCATATGTTTAGGGTAGCAAGGTAGACTGTGCATAACACATTCCTTTTTTACTGAAAAAAATCATGAAGTGTCTCTGCCCCTTTTTTTTAGGTCAGCAAAGTTTAAAGAAGGCCTCGGTTCAGGTGTGAGCTTCAGGTATCAGACGGTCAATAATAAAAACTTAACTGGTCATGCAAGGTCTTTGCAGAATGAGTAAAATATATGTTATGCTTGTTGTGTTCTCTTTTGTATTGAAATCTTTGACAATTGATTTGTTTTTACCTTAGCAAAATAAATTACTGCACAATTTATAATTAGAATCTATTTGTAGGCTCTTACAATTATATGAATTCAGTTCTGTATAATGTACAAAATCTGATATGTGCAACTTTTTGTTCCAGCTCCTACCTGCCAAAAGGAGCCATACAGAGAATACTTGGAGGAAGATGGATGTCGCTCCAACAAGATGATAAAAATGGCCAATTGTGTAGGCTCTTGCCAATGCTGTCGCCCACAGAGGATAAAGCGACGCAGTGTTCGCATGATATGCCCAAATGGCACTAAGTACACCACACAAGTTGACGTAATACGAAAATGTAAATGTGTTCAAAAATGTTAACAAGTCATTTTGGTGTCATTACCTGGTCGTATGAATGTAATTCACATATGGCTTTTAAAATTAAATAAGACATTCTACTTTAATATCATCTTATGTTGGAAAAAAAGATGGGAAAAAATTTGCTTTTCTTTCATGCGGACTACAGCAGCAAGAAAAGAAAATGAACAAATACTATTGATTGCATTTCACGTTAAGTTGAAATAATTTTTATGTTGGTGTCTAGGTATGCAATAATTTGTGTACTACTTGCAAAAGAAATTTAATATATGGATTAGCAAGAAAGTTTTTATTTTTGTAGATTTCATTTGTGTTAAATATTTTGCTGCTGCCCCCCCCCAAAAAAATCCAAAGAATAGCTTAATTACAGTAAATGTCTCTGCTGCATATTTCATAAGTTTTCATTATAAGAGTGAGAAATAAAAAGAAATTTAATAATCTTGTGATTATAATAGTAAGGTAATACGAATATAAATATTTTACAGTGACTTACTGCTAATATAAATAATAAAGACACATTTACCCACCTCCAAAAAAACTTGTGATTTTAATATTGATTTTTTAAATGTATATTGTAATATAATAAAGGTTATATAATTTACAACGATCAGTTTTGTTATATTCCATTATTCTGTTATCTAAATGTATTTCTACAAAAATCTGCTTTACTTTGTTAAAAAAATAATAAATTATGTATTCATATAAATATACTGCTGAAACAGATAAAAATCCATATATGTATATATACATGAGCAAAACAAATTTTTGAAAAATGTGGCAATTACCTCTTGAAGAATTGCAGTAATGATGTAATGTTATACTCTGAGTTTTATTATACCATTATTTTGGCTGTTTTGCTCTCGCAAATTAGTGTATCTCACCAGCCTATGTAGAAATAATTTTTGTATATTGTCGTTGTGAAAACCAACAAAGTGTAACATGTTTGTCATGCTAGAGTTATTCATTTATGAAATACTATGTACATACATGTCATAATAAGCATTTACATTTATTTGTTTAATTTTGTAAATTATTCTTTAATGCTTATGAACACAGCAGGCATGACAGAAAAGCATTAGAAAACAGGCAAAAGACATTACACATTTATATCATAAAAGTGTGGAACAATTGATAAATATATAAAATTACAAATATGCAGAAATAATGATAAAAAAATTAAGAAAGAATTGCCTTTCCATGTACTTTTATAATACACTTTATATGAGTACATTAAAATGTGGGGAAAAGTTTGCATTTAGCATCTGACACATTTTAGTCAAGTACAGAAAACTTCCACACATAAACTTGCCTAGATGGATATTTTCAGCACATAGAGTAAATAAAGCACACAAACAATTAACTAGCAGAATTTTAACAAAGGCACATCAATATTTTTGCATTGCTTTTACTTGATGGTATTATTTTTTATTAAGGTTGCTGAAATTTTATTCCATCTGAAGGAAAATTCTGTGTTAACAGAATTCATGTATCTTCACCTTACACACTTTTTTTTTAAAGTGTGTTTTATGAACACAAAAATGTAGAAAAGTTTCAATTTAAGGAAACAGTTTATAATTTGTATTACCTGCATTAAAATAGGAACAGTGATTTCAGATGTGTCTTTTGTTCGAAATGGAGAATTCTAATCCCATTTTGCTAGTGTTCTAGTTGTTTTATATTTTTGCTGTAAGTGCCTCATTTGATGTCTAGTATTCTGGTGTACATTGTATTTCACAACTAATATTGGGCATTTGTACTGCTGTAGTGAGTTTGAAGTTAACTGCACTGTTGTTACTGGCCTTTGTGTCAATCACTTGTGTACTGAAATCAGTTTTGCTTAAAGCTCTTTGTGTATATTTATATTTAATAATTCATTGTTTTAACCAATGTGTATATTTGTGCTGCACCGATATTTGTATTATGTTCATTTAATAATTAGAAGTGATTCACTAGCTTCATAGAAATAAAATGGTCACATTTCTATTAACATTTAGTGTAATTTCTTTCTTACTAGAAATTATCTTGATATTGCAGTAGCCTGTTGAATAAGATATGGCTAATATATCAGTTCTCTTGACATGGATTTAACATATAAAATGTGTGTTTAAAAGAGTCTTAATAGCATACAAAACAGGTAGCCCTCTTAGTACATGAAAATAATTTTAAGAGGCTTTTATCTAATTATTAAATATATCCATTACAGTAAAAGCAGTATATAAGGTCCACTGACATTATTGTCTATCAATAAGCACATTTTAAAGTACTTATGCCTATTTTTTTTACTTTTCACAAGAATAAGATTTGTTGCGTCTCAGTTAGATTGATTCTTCAATTACTACTTGAGTGATTAAGCAACAAATATATGAAGAAAGAAGAAAATTTATATTTGCTTAAAATTAAATTTATATTGATAATTAATAATATAAATACTAGGAAAAAATATTCCTTATAGATACATAATTCATAGAACTGAGAAGGCTCATTAGTGAGGGAGATGGAAATTACTTCATATTACATCAAAATAATTACTGCTGTTTTCAAGTGAAGATGCGCATTATAAATTTAAGAAATAGAAAACTGCCTAATTAATATTTTATTTCATCACTTTGGTTTTAAAAAAAAGTTCAGTCCTTCAAGCCATTATAAGCTACAGCATTTACAATTTCAAAATATTCAAAATGTAAAAATTGATCAATTTTTGAAATACTATTTATTTAGAACAGTATCCTATCCCATGATACAAAGATCGAAATTCTACACTAAATGAATGCAAGTGCAAAAAATGCTTCAATATAAAATAAATTTAATATCAAATTAAAAAAAAGACTTGCTACATGTCATCGAAGTGCTTTATAATCATGGACATGAGTTCGAAGTTATTTTTAACATGTCAGTTGCTGTAGTGAGCAAGCAACATGGTAAAAATTTTCTTAGTCTTTCAGAATGCCTTCAGCAAAATCTGTTAGCGAGTTTGCAAACTACACTATCCGATATTGAAAATGCAACACCAAAAAGGAGTGTCTCGAAAACTGTAAATTTCAGGGTAGATGAACGTCACCAAGTTTGAAATGTGCAATCAGAAAATAAACTGAGGCAAATGGTTGACAGGGAATAGAGAGCCATTCCTCAAGACACCATTCGTAGTCTCATTGCCTCTGTACCTAGACATGTTGCTTTGTGTATTGCTATCCAAGGTGGTCCTACAACCTACTGAGGCCAACACTGTTTTCACTCTCTATTATGAATATCATTTCCTAATAAAGATTACTTATTTTTCTTTGCTGTATCTGCAGACAGAGTTTCATCACTGTCTGGCCACTCCTTGGTGTTGCATTTTCAATGCCGGGTAGTCATCCTGATGATATAAACAGATTGAAGGTCAGTGTGATGAATTTGTTGCTTTATTCATCATAACAGACTTTTTGGCTCACTCTTATTTATTTCACAAAAACAGGATTAAACTAATCCATCTATTTTGCTTAACATTTTATGTACCCTCTAACATAGAAATTAATATTCACAAGGCCAATGGTTAATGATGATTCCAAGCACACAGGATGTAACAAAATCATTTTTATCTAGACATAGATGTTAATGATGAAAGCAAAGAAGATAGTTGTGGTGGGTTGACACTTCATTTATTGTTAATAAAACATTTCTGAAATAGACAGAGCTAATCTGAGCAACATGTGACTTACATTAGTACTTTTTACATTTTTATATATTTGAATGAAAAAGTATAAGTGACAGCAAGCTTGCACACCAGAGAAGCTAAGAAGGAATAGATAGTTTCCAGTATGAAATATTGGTTAAGAATAAATTAGTTTTGATTTCGTGCCCCTTGGTTGCTAAAGGTCTTAGTTTGCAAATTTTAATATTATTACTGGCTGAAGTATTACATAAGTATCTGCATCATTAATAAATTTTTATATGCAGCAGCCTTGAGGAAAAAAATCATAAGCATGCTGACAGAAATAACCAAATTAAAAAGAAGAGTTAAAAGACTATTATGAATTAAAAGTCAACATTTTATCTTAGCCACTTTTTCCCCTTTAAATGCACATGTTCATACTTGCTTCTAACTTCCATACCACCATGTAACAGAAGTCTGGATGAAGCCCTAATTTATAATGACCATTTTTTTAAATGCAACACCTCATAATAACGTCAACATTGAAGAGAACGTGAATTCAAAAATACATAATCATATGCTTTAGATCCTAAATTTACTTTAGAATAGGAAAATGAACATTAAAATCTTGCATACCCCTCCCTCTTCCCCCCAAAAATGAGATTAATAAAGCTATTACTTTTTTTACACTAAAGTACAAGCATCTGTTTTTAGAAACATTAAAACTATCACGATTTCCCATTAGGTTAATTACACGCATTCAATTGCAAATATTAGTAAAAGCAAAAATATCGATGCAGTATAGTGTGGCATAAAAGTCTGCAGCCAATCAAGAGGACTGGTTGAGCATTTCTCTGGCTTGAAATATTCTGGAATCTCAAAAGTATGCAACTTTCAGATAGGATTGTTTTGTGTGATATGATAACATTTATCTAAGTGTATCTTGCTCTTAAGAGATTAATCTGTAGACCTTACTATTAATGTTCGTAGTGCAGGTATCAGAGAAATCTAAAACTAGCTACTTTAGCTTGAAATGTATATTATAAAAATATCATTCGTCAAAATATTTTCTATGCATCTGTAATGCTCTCTTGGACAGTCAGAAAGGTATTCATTTTGCAACAGAAATCCAAATACCAAGTATTTCCAAAATTCTAATTATCTGGGGTACTCTCATTTCTGGCCTAAGTAATCTAGTCTTGTTGAGTCTTTAAAATGTCTTTGTTTACTTTGACATAAAATATAATACATTTTTATCAACAAATTAATTTTGGAATATACAACATGTAGTTCATTTTAAAAAAGTGTTTTTCGTGGCTAATGTTAGAGGTATGATAAGCTTTAACAATTTATAATAGTCAGCTGTATGAAGTCATTCAGTGCACAGAATGTTTGAATTATACAACAATAAAATAGATGTAGAATAATTTTGAGCTGAAGAATTAATAACACATTATTATTTTAATAAATATTTCATATTTAGAAAAATTCTTTCTTATATTGTTAAGGAGGAAGCAACAGAGGGGAAGAGGAAGAATTTATAAAGACTTTTGTTGCACTGCAATAAAAATGCAACAATGCATTTTTTCATTTATACTTTTTTTAAAATACATATAAATTTGCATAAATTATCCTTTCAAATATGGAGTCTTTATCAATCATTGCCAATTTAAATATCATATATCTGGAAATACTGAAATGTTCTGCACAATATGAAGTACCTAGTCTTTAAGCCAAGTGAAGATTAAAGTCTTTAGGTTCTATACATAACTTGAGTTTGGTATTGTTCAAAATCATAGTAGCAAACATATTAAAGTTATCCAACAGTAAGAGTACCTTTTCGCCTCTAATTATCATTAGGTTTTTAACCTTTAAATTCAACAACTTTGAGCTTTTATATTAAAAATGTTTCTACCAGTCATTCCAGAATTTTAATTGCTATGCAATGCTGACATGCACATATCATCTATGAGATTTGGTAAATATTGCTATGAAACATACATTAATTATCAAATTTAATTAGATTCACAGACAGTGATTTGAAAACAAGAAAATCACATTTTTAATAATTCAATCACTATTTCACTGCATCCAAATGATGATTTTAAAGAACATCTACAGCATTAGTGTAAAATTAACAAGATGTGTTCCTAATTAAATGTCTCATCAGTGGATGACTGGTTAAATATGCTAACTGGCAAACAAGCTGGCTACATGGTTGGTTTCCCCATGTGTAGCATGAATACAAGCCAATTTCTCTTAGAAAGTCCTCCAAGACATTGCTTCCCTTATTCAGATAGCTCTTGTGTGCTCTGCCATATTCAAATAACTTAAATACAGTATTACATATTATGTTGTTAAATTACTGTATTTAAGGCACCTTGATTTTAGCACCCAAAAATTGAAAATATAAAGAATTATTTGGTTAGTAGACTTGTTTCCATTAGCCCAATGGATTACAATTAAACAGGAGAAAAATATTTCATAAGTTATTGAAATTAATGTTTATCCAGTTTACAACTGATCACTTTCAGAATTATTATCCATTGGCTTTATTCAGTTTCCCCAAATGCATTGCATCAGTTCATTTTACTGTTGACAGCCTCATCCTAAAATGATTGATTTGCATTTCTTTGTCTTTAGGTTAAAGGAGGTGACTTAGCATACACTCCAGTAGAAAAATTTCTTTGTTAGAAACTAGAAACAATATCATTTGAAAACTTTACGTCACTCTGTTTGATGATGAATGGTATGTGAGGAGGAGGAATTTCAGGCATTTAAATTTTTTAAAGAACAGGTAAACGAAGGCACTGGCATAGTAAAGTTAACACACATGCTCTATATGCACCCTCAACAATGATTCACTCTTGGTTTCATTCGCTGCAATGTCACTGCTGTATAAGATGCATACAGCTTTTAGACATGAAATTTTTAAAGAAAAAATGCATCTTGTACACCGGGAAATATGGAACACTGCACAAAAAAAAGGGGGGGGACAGTTCTATATCTCCCTCTTACTCGGCTGATTGACAAAATTCAAATTGCATTTTTCATGTGTCTAAAACGCGACTTAGGATATATGTTAGATTTATATATAGCACTGTTCTAATATAGGTATTTTTACACAAAATTGGAACTTTTCTGAAAAGACACGATATTTTGTTTCCATATATGGACTCAATGACTCAAATTATGTTTAAATATTAAATTGTATAAACTTTGGTACAAAATTTATCTTGGCATATTTTTTTCAGTTTACACCCAGAATAATTCACTTGGCGAACTTCTTAATTTATAGCGACCTATTTTCCTTTTCTTTTCCTCATTGTATATGCGTAGAAAAAAGGTCACATTCATTACTTTCAAATAATTTTAACAAAGTGCATAAACCACATTTGACGTTATCACTTGTAACAAATATGACAAATTTTAAAATGTGCCAATATGTAAAACCACATGTATCTCTGGAAATTTTGAATAAATAACTCATTTTTTTGAAGATGTGCCTAGAAATATATCTACTATAAAAGTCAACATTTAAAGATAACGTTGACTTTTATAGGTTGTAATACATTTTCGAAACATTTATAAAAATATTTTAAAATAAACCATAAAAAATGTGCAAATTATATTTGGATTTCAAATATACGGAGAAGGAATCAAGTTTAATAAAAAAAGGGATATTAATAAATCTATATCAAAATCAGTTAACATTAAGGAGCTAAACTCAGGCGATTTTTACAAAACTTGGCAGTTTGGCCTATACTTATATTAGAAGAATGCTATATATAAATGTAACAAATATCCTGAGACGCACTTTCAAGACATGAAAAACACAAGTTAATTTCATCAATTGACCCAGGAGAACAAGAGATATAGAACCGTCCCCCTCCTTTTTTTGCACAGTGTCCTTGGTTTTTAACATGAACTGAATTTTCTTTATTTACATGAAAAGTACATGAGTTTTATTAAACTTTATTGAAATTTTTTTTCAAAATGTACAGAGAACAATCAAATCATCTTTTTATTAAAAGCAAAGCAATTTAAACTGTTTCTGTTGCATTCATATGCAGTAAAATATATACATAGATCTTGATTAAAATTTATTGAAATCTCAAAATTTATTGTCAGTTTTGCTTTTTACAGACAGATTTGAATTAATTAAATACAGTACAAAGTCCGTAATCCGGACTCAACGGGACTTCGATTCCGGATTACAGATCAATTTAAATCTGGTAGATGGCATGAAGAAATTATACAATTAAAAATATGAAACCGTAATTTATGAAATTAATAGCAATTATGATTTAAGAGGTATCAAAATTTTAAAAAAAAACTTAATATTTATTTGTTTACTTTATTAAACATTTCTATCAATGCAAGTTGTTTTGTTTTTTGTGCTAATACTCTCTCTTTAATTCTATAAACAGACATAATTTCTTGTTCAGTTATAAAGTTCCACTGTTCAAGTCCTGTAATTGCTGTGTCAAGAATACCGACTAACTTGTCAATCGAAATTTTTTCGTTTTCAATAACCTCTCGTCATTTTCTTCACTATCGGAAGCACGAGGGTAAACACATTATGCACATGCATAGCGAACACGCGCATTAAGCGCGCATGCATAAGTTTGTGGCTTTGAGGTCAGGATTATAGATCATTCCGGATAATGGACGTCCGGATTACGGACTTTGTACTGTATTAGAAAATGGATCATTTTGTAATCTGGATTTTATAAATCCAATCATTTTTGGGTCCATTATTAATTCTTCGAGGTTCCACCTCTGCCAACCTTTTCCTATAGAATGCACAAGGATATACCAATTCTGCTGGCGATCTTTATCACCCGAGATGAAAATTTCTCTAACTCCAGATACAGATTTTAAAAGAGTTCGTAGTTCATCCATATGATCAGCAATGATCGATTCAAATTCCGTCGTAACTGGGACTCTAATCGGGTCACCTTCTTCATAACTGCCATCATCATCAAAAACTGAAGAACTGCCATTTATTAAACCTAAATAACTGCAGTCTCTGGTTACAGCCAGAGAGGCATAAGTTTGTAGGGCTACAGATTGCAAGTTCAGTTCACGAAAACCTTCACACTTCTTACGTGTCTTTAATACTGCATCACAAGTTCCAAGTTCTATACATACTTCCGACGCATAAAATTTCATAAACTTCAAAATAAGTTTCAAGGGTGAGCAAGAAGTTCTACAACAACAATGTTCTCCTTTTACTGAACAACATTTTTTCTTAGTCTTTTCCTCAAAATAATGCAAAATTCTTTGAAAGCAACCATAGCAAAAAACATCACTATCTGTACTCATTTTCAGATTGAGAGAAGACTTTGCCAACCACTCCTTTATAGTGCTATACAGTATACTAGTACAATGACATGTATCAAAATTTTGCATTGCAAAGCCAGATAACTGTTCAAACAGAATTTTATCAGATGATTCAATGAAAGAGCTTTTTGGAACGGAAATAATCCCTCTTAGATTTTTCTCACGCACTTCACATAATACATCGCTTACAATCCAAGGAAAGCTAAGAACAGATGTATCAGAATTACAGTATGCTACCATATACCAGGCAGATGCCATTTGATATTTAATGTCCTCTAAAGAATTACCAGATTTTCTTAATGAAAGACACTCTTGGTCATATGCTTTCATAAATTTTAAACGAAAGCGTTTGATGGTGTCCAATAGATAGCTTTTAGATAATGAAATCACATTGGCCTTCTCATAACGATTTTGATTGAAATCGTTTACTTTACTTATATAGCCAGAAAGTACTTCTGTCTCATTTCGTAAACCATACTTCTTTAAGATATTTTTAACCCTGTGTACATATTCTTTTCTGAGACACTCAGCTGACTGCTCATACCTCTTCCAACCAGGATATTCTAATTTTGAATCAAGAATAATAGGTTGCTTCAAAACATCAATCCTGCTGATACATGCCTCTAAATTTCGTGTAACTCTGTACAGTAAACCTAATGCTTTCCTTGATTTATAACTGTTATTTGAAGTACCTTTTTCCATGAAATCAGGATAGTCCTTAGGTCTTTCTTTTGGAGTCAGATAACAAGTAGTTCCAGATTTAGCAAAATCTAATGCTAGTGGATACTTCTTTGCAATACTCATGCAAACTTTGGAAAAAATTCCTTTCTCATGAAAATCCGCCCATGCTAAATGTGCACTAGCTAAAGGTCCAATATTATCATTCTGAATATAGCTGCATAAGAAATCTATCATATCAGACACCTAAATAAAAGAAACAGAATATAATGCAGTAAACATTTTAAAATAAAAATTAATTATTACATTCACATAAAAGAGCAAGTAACTAATGCACTTTTGTAATAAAAACATCCATATACAATTTCTGAATGTAATAAATGTAAGAAATTTGAAATTTTACAGTAATGTCAAAAAAGTTAAATGCAAGAAGAAATTTTCATTTATGTACACTTTTCTGATAAACTGCTTTGAAATATGTAATATTATCATCTAATGCTAAACAAATTTATATAATGGGAAAAACATTCTAGATTATTGCTATTTCAAACATATTATGCTTATCAAATGATACACTCATTTTTAGTCATACACTTCCATCTATCATACATCACCTAGCTTAAGATCTATAAATAGTTGAAACTCTTCAGCCGAAAGAAACAATCTAGATTCCTTAAAAAATTTTATATAATAATGAGAATCTACATAATATTAAGAAACTGCACTAGCTTGTCTAGAACTAGACCTGTGTACAGTACAGTGAGACACAAGATGAGTATTTTAAAACTTCTATTTTCAATTTTGATATTAACACAAAACATTTCTTCCTACTGATGCCTGTTCAAGGTGACAAGATCAGAACCATTTTTGCAATTTTCCACACTTATGTCTAATGAAAAGTTGAGAAAATTAAGGAAAGATATGCAAGCATGTTAAGAGAAAGACTTCTACAATTGGACACAGGAAATAACTTTGCTTTCATGGTTTTCCCAAAAATTCTTCAAAAAATGAGAAAGCCATAAAAAAATTTCCTTTAAAGCACATTCATTATGGGTTAATACCATGAAGCCATTTTGTTACATTCTTCTAAAATCTTTTGGATTCTTATGTTGAAAAATCTTGCTCTCAAAGCTTCCAAAGTGTGAGGTGTAAAAATTATATCAAAAAACACTGTAAGAGCAAACAGGCATATTTTTAATAAGAAATTTAAAAAAAAAAAGAAGAATCTTTAAAAGAAAATGAATACACATTTGAATATTCAGAAACACTGACAAGGAGAAAAACTTGTAAAAAAATAAAAAAAAAGACAATGAATTTATTTTAAAATAATAGTAGACTTTTTGCTTTTGCCAAGATGAGCTTTGGAAACTGTGTTTTATAGCATCTGTTATATTATTTATTTTTCAGAAAAAAAAGTCGTCAAAATGGAAATTAATGTCACCTAAAAAATTTGCTATCTCTGTCTCAAAACTTTTTACAGAAATTGATCTTGAAATCAGTAAAATGTTGATAAGTTACCAAACTGAACACCACATAATAAAAGCAAATTATATCTAAAAGAGGGAAAGTTGTTTTTGATGTAATATATTATGAACTCTTCATGTTCAAAAAGGAAATAGTTTGGAGTTGATGTTTCAATCGAGGCACAGCCTCCCGCCCCAAAACTTGACTATCACACCATTTATATTAAGAAAGAGGAAAGAATTCAAATGATAACCCGTCAGATACATAATTGTCAATGAATCGCCAAGAAATGGTTCTCCAAAATATTATTTCACTCTCAAATGGATGTCGGACAGAAATGTCAGATGGGTAAAATTAAGGAACTTTTTTTGATGTTGGCCAAAATTAAGGACTCTTAACCCCTTCGCGCCGACTGTCACGTATACATGCCAGCAACGAACACACTTACCTACCGGCCGACACGCAGGATTGTTCCGTTCTCTACCGACTGTCACGTATTTGTGCCAGTACTTTGGAACGTTTTTCAAACTATAATTTCTGCCACAAGATGGCACTGTATGTCCATATGGTTTCAGATACATGTACATTAGACCTTCAACTCAAAATGAGAGAAGCATGACTCACATACACGTGTTTTTGATTATATAAACAAACGGGGAAATAAATGTTTCCGAATGGCGTGATTTATGACGTCTCTTTAAATTGCACTTTATTCGCACGTGGTAGTTGTTTACTGTAAGTAGAGAAGTTTTATTTGCTCTAAAGCGTTGGGTATTTAGGTTTGCAGTTCAGTTTTCAGAAAATAATTAGATCTTGTTAGACGTGAAATCTTTGTTTTTACCGTTGCAATGTCGAAGCGTCGAAAATGTTTAACAGAGCGTGAAATAGCAGAAATGATGCAAAATATTTCAGATATTGATTCTGAAAGATTAACTGAAAGACATTTTCCAAAACTTTGTTCAGAAGAGACTGATAAGAAAATGAGACAACGATGCTTCGTTTGTTCACATTCCCAGAAAAATCCTCCAAAACGGCAAATGAGTTATTACGAGTGCAAGGAATGTAACGTAGGACTGTGTGTAGATCCCTGTTTTCAAATTTTTCATACAAAAAGAGAATTTTAAGTAATATATTACTTTTCAGATGTATAATGTTAAAATTCATAAAATGGTGAATAATTAAAATAAAATGTGTAAAATATGCATTTAAACAAGAAATAAGGTAATTAAAGTATATATATAAAAATATCTATAAAGCATAAGCCGTTGAAATACTCTATAAAGCATTATTAAACAATGCATCGATACTTCGGAAATTTCATGGATTTATTAGGCTTAGTAGCAAAAAAGCCCCCGGCCCTGGAGAGACACTCGCGTAAGACACTGCCGGCCTCAGCGATAAGCGCGCGTTTTCGCTACCCGGCTCGAAGGGGTTAAGGACCAAAAATCATTTAACAGGGGAAGAGAGAACCTAAGGACTTCCAAGTACTTTTAAGTAACCACACAAGGCTTCTTAAATACAGAAAATTTTGTAAGTCTGATATACGAGTTATCGTAGCCCCCCCCCAAGAAAAACCCTCACCTCATACATACACACAGATTGTAAAAATATTAAAAATGTGTTGTGAGTAGTAATTCATGCTTATTCACTGAGAACTCACTGCTGAATTTTTGGACCAAAAATATTATCTCCTTTACATATGTACATAAGTTAGCAGGAAATAACAGAACTGCTCTTATCATCGTGATCATTAATGATGCCGACACAAATAGTTTTGGGCCCAACTCTTACAAAAGACACAGATGTTTGAAATTATAATGTCTTTGTAGTATGGAGGTACTTTAAAATATTCTCAAGCCAAAAGCCTCCTTGAAAGGCTTGTGATAAGAGAAGAGTAGGAGACGCTTGGATCTATCTTGTTGAGCACTTTTCATCAAAACTTTGATAACTTGGTTTATTTCTTTAAGGCAAAGCATCTCAGGCTATCTATCTAAGGGCCTTTGTGAAATCTGAGAAAAAGGCTTGTATTGTATGTATTAAACATGGAAAAAATCAAAAATGATGTGTAGGCAGCCTATTTGCCTGGAATTAAACACAGGTTTGAACTACCAATGTTTAAAAACTTTTCTGCTCAGCCAATAGTGGGCCTCAAAACTGGGATGGAGCTTGGCAAAGTTCTTCAGTCACCTAGAAAGTGGCGTAATGATAAGTGCTTTCTTCCTCTTACCATGACTGATTCATACTGCCAGATCACAATTACATACAATAACTTCAACACAGTTGGAACTGAATCACAATCACTTAAATTATGACTTCTGAAATTTTGGTTGGTTTCTTGCTTGACTTTTGTATCCTGCATGCTAAAAAATGGAGCTCTCAACATAATCATTGCTTTGTTTCCAAGGTACAGGAACATTAAAAAAAAATTACAGCAGTTTTATGAAAACAATAGTAAAAAGACAAACAATTATTATTGCACCACTAGACATAAAATTATACATAAGGAATTTCATTTAATTATTGATGAAAATTTGGTCTTACAGTGATTTGCCCGTTATTTAAAAGTTCTTCATTAGGTGGATACTCCATTGCATCATAGTTTTCCCTTTGAAATATCAAATCATCATACCATATAACAACATATTCATCACCATCCAGATCAGACCCTAGATAAAGCACAACAAATTACTTAAAATATACATATATATATATATATATATTCTACAGTATTCTTTCAAAGTACTTTATTGACAGAAAATATTTTAGTAGTTTTAAAACTTTCTTTTTAAATTTATTTTTTCTCTGTTTCATAAACAAATTTAATCTTTGAGACATATTAGTTTTAATAATAATCTGGCAATATCTTAAAAAATATTGCAGACATTCTCATGATCATTTAAAGGTATTCTATCCCACATTACTCACAAGCAATTAGCAGTAGAAGGCTGAATTTTTTTTTATATGGGACTTCTATAACATCTGGTTGTGCACAATCCTTTTTCTGTAGCAATCGGCCACACTAAATGCATATATATTTATATACACCTTACCCACCTCTGTGCAGTTTTCCTAAACTTCTAACCTTTTTTCGAGAGCTGGGGTGTTGTTAGAGTCATCTAATGTGTAAGAGTAACATATCAGTCTTTTGAAGCCCTAGGACAAGTTTACAAATTTCATTTTTTCCAAGAAATGTTTTATTGAGGGAAAGAATGTTTCTACATTATGGCATATTTTCTTTTAGTATTTTTCTTAGAACTATTGCAGACATTGTTATTGATTTTTTTTTCCTAATGGTATATTCATCAAGTTTTCATATTCAGTGAGAAATAAAGCCAAACTATAAAGGGTTTTCAAATAACAAAAGAAATGTTGGATATTCTTGAAAAAATAAGATCATTCATCAGATTTTTCACATTAATTTAATGAATCAGATTTCTCAAATGTATGATAGAGATAATGTATTTAAAAGCTGTCTCTCAAAATATTTAGCTGATAAAATCAGCTTTGAATAGATGGTGTGTTATATGCAGCAAAAATAATAAAGAAATGAGATCCTGAGTCATATTTATAACCTGTAAGGATTATCTATGTCTCAGAGACAAGTATGAAAATTATAAGTAATTTTTATTGCTCATTTGTTCATTTATACACACAGGGTTCGTGCACATTTCTGCACACGGAATTTAAAGTACTTTTAAGGACCATTCATGAAAAAATTAAGGACCTATAAGAAAATGGGAAATAAATAAATTCAATTAAAAATATTATCTATGCTGAACTTCACTTTTGTAATACCATACTAAAAATAAAATAGATCCATAAGTAGGATGTATTAGTATTAAATATAATTATTAGTAAGTTTGAGAATAAAATAAAGTTTATGAAATCTATCATTAAATATTTTACTCATACTAACTGGACATATTTAAAAGAAGATAAGTGACATTTTATTTAGCTTTTTACTAACAGTTAGCTTTGATTTTTTTTAATGTCTCATTTTGTCACATACTTACACACTCTACGAGTTTAGTAAATAGTAAGTAGATTTTATGTCAGTGGCATAGGTTAAAGTGAGAAGTAAAATCACAATCAGCATGATTCAAAACAAAAGACTGGCTGTTGTCGCCACTCCTGGTTGCCTAGGAGAGACCTGATGATCAGAACAAACCTTAAGGCCTGATTTAAGCACGGTTCGCAATTTTGAAAGTTAGCCGAGGTCTGTCTGACGCAGTTAGTGTCATAGCTTCTTGTAGAGTTCCAGGGATTGTAACTCAGTTAATATAGTTTAAGGTCCTAATAATCCACTAAAGCACCAGAGGTGACAAGTTGTAATTATTATTATGACATTGTGACATATATGTAATTATTATGACATTATTTTAAGTCTCACTAGATGCAAAGAATAGGTTTTACATGAATTTTTACATTTTTGTGTTTTATCTTGTGGCCACGATAAGGGTTAATGAAAGGCAATAACTCGCTTTAAAATTCAGAGATAATCTTTAAAGGTAACCAGTTAGTTATACGTAATTAAATTGGGTATTAGATAACCTTAGTCATTATGGATTTACATGGCCACTATTAAATTTTATTTATTTTTTAACAATATTTGTTAAAAAAGCCTTATTAAATCACAATCTAATAAAATTTCACAGTTTTAAATACATATAATTTATGGCATTGATTCTTAAATGATATTAGGATAATTACACATTAAAAGCTACAAAATATTCATATTTTGTAGCAACAACACTCAACAAGATATTTATGCATCTTTTTAAGTTGAAGTCTTCCCAGACATTTTGGCTAATTTATATCAATTTCCTTCTCTTTAAGCATCTTTTCTAACAGTTAGAACTCTGTCTCAATACGCAAGACAATGTTCTCACTAGTTTCTACATTTTGTATCTCCTAACCTGTCAACCTCTCCAAAATGTACCTATGAGGATTTACTTGATCTGGTAAAAGTTAAATAGTCCAAAACCCTCTGGACTATGCTAAAAAAATCAATTACACCTCATGGTGATGTAATTAAACAAGAAGAATCAAATGCAAACTAAAAATATGGACTAGTCATCAATGACTATACAATTTAATTTCATTTTAAGCTGATTCAGTAACCCTACTGTTGTAACAAATTCAAATGTCGGCAGCGGTAATGTAAAGACGAATAATTGCAAATTATCAGGGCGGGCAGGAACTAATGCAGGGAGCAAGTGGAGGTCAGAAACACATTCTTGTCTTACACTCCAAGAAACCTCAGTTTAAAAACTGTTTAAGTGATTTACATTCTGGTGAGAAAATGGGAAATTAAATACTAAATGCATTTAGAATGTACAGAGAAATCTGCTAATTTTATAGTAAGAGGAACATTCAGAAGAAATATGAAATATATATGGTAAGATCTGGTTACAGAGCTTTTGAATTTATTCACACATCGAGCAACAAAATCTAGAAATGTCAAAACTTTTAGAATTTAGAACAGGCATTGGAAGCAAAATTTACAAAGGCACCAAGCAGCACAATTTAGTGTGTATGATGTATTAAGACATATTAGATGAATCGTTTAAATTGTCATATTTCAATTTCTTTATTAATAAAAAAATTATTTTCTATAATTGCCTGTCCATATAAGATTAGAAGCATTTTTGATATTTTATGCTTGTGTCTAGTGATAAATAAAGAAAATAAAGGGAAGATAAAAATGTTAAGAAAAAGATTCTAGTATCAGAACTAAAACATCCAACTATTATATTTTTATTGCTCTTCCAGATGTTCTCCAAAAAGTAAGAAATTATGTATTAATACCAAGGAGACATTTTTCATTTTGCCACATTTTTCTGGAATCTTCCAGAAATTGGGTCAATAAATCTTGCCTTCAAATCTTTCTAAAACTTTCCAATGTCTAAAATCCTAAAGAAAAATTACCCCTGCCAATTCGGTAACAGCAAAAAGCCAGAAATATTTTTTAAAAAATCGGATAAAAAATGTGTAAAATTAAGTTTATTGAGAAAACTGACGCATATTCTGAGACAATTACATGAGGAAACTCTTACCAGGATAAAGTTAAAAAGAAATTTTTAATTAATTACATAGCTATTTTGCTTTTGCTAAGAACCGTTTCGTAAATTGTGCTTTATAGCATTATACCTCGCTTATTTTTCAGATTCAAAATATTGTATAAAAAGTGGCCAAAATGGAACTTTATAATATGAGAGCAAAAAATAAAACTGCTTTATTTTAATGTTATTTCTTAAATGTAATTACAATATATTACCCAGTATTTTAATGAAACTTATCAATGTTACAATGTTTTAAAAAATTCGTCGAAGAATTCCCAGACCTCGGAATTAAAAATTTTCTATAGAAACTTATCTTAAAATCGCCAATGTTGATAAGTCGCCAAATTTACAGCAATTTAATAAAAGAATTCACATCCCCAAAAGCGAAAAGCTGTTTAAGAGCTCTTCACTAGAAAAAATGAAATAATTTCGAATGCTTTATGTTTCATACTTGCTCAGAAACTCTATCCCACCCTTTATATTAAAAATGGGAACAAATTATAACCCATGAACGCATTCACCCATTCAAAAGATAATGATATTTGTCAGAGAATTGCCAAAAATATTCCTCCAAAATGCTAATTCACACTCAAAATGGCAGTCGTAAAAACAGTCAGAAATTTCAGATGATTAAAAATTAAGGACCTTCTGACGATTTTGGCCGAAATTAAGGACCAAAAATCGATTTCAAAAAACTTGAGGACTTTTAAGGACTCTTAAGGACCTTACGAACCCTGTACACATTATATTTCTATATGCGTTCACACTCTTAAATTCAAAAATACGGCATTCCTTTAGTAAAATCTTTTGAAAAATATTTTTGTTTAATTACGAAAAATTTAGCAATAAAAAGAATTGAATAATTTTGCTAGTTTATAACAAATTGCAACAACCATAGTAAACTAAGTATTACATATTGAACCACTTTAATTGCTCTAAACTGATTCTAATAATTTTTTAAATGCTTGAAACTATTTACGAGGGCATAAATGTTCTTTAATTGCTTTTAACCTAAATGTTTATGAAATGCATTAACTCAAATTTATATTTTTTTCTTGTTTTTTCCTTTTAATATGCTTACTTCTTTTTATTCTAGCTTTCAAGTGAAAGCAAAGTTAATGTAATCTATACAAATAATTTCAACTGATGAAAAATAATTTTATTTCTAAATTGCTTATATTCCAAAACTGCTGTTTCAATCTTACTAAAATTTTAGGTTTCTTTGTACTCTAAAATGTCAACTAGCAACCAAGAAGATAATATAGTTAAACTCTTGTAGTTTGAACTGGTTTCTAATCCCAGTGAAAAGGGTAGCTCCATAAGCATTTCATGTTTTTTGTAAGTGTAATGAGAATATGAGCCAATTTTCCTTAAAAAGTTCTCCACAAGAACATCACTTTGCATCTATAATATGGTATATGTATTAGCACACAAAGTAAGTAATGTTTATTCCAACATTATGTTTTTGTAGTACATTAGCCAAGATGTCAGGATCATAAACATACATGGAATTCAGCTGGGTAACATTCTCTGATGCCCTAAATATATTCTTCAGTAGAAACCTAATGATTATACCATGAAGCTGACACCAGTATCTCTTTCTTCACACAGAAACTGGTAATAAACAGCACCCCCCCCACAAAAAAATCTCAACACTTCCTTATTATGATCTAACATCTTTATAAGGTTTTTAAACATTTAAAAATTCTAAAAATATACAGCATCATAAAAATTTTACAAATACTTCATCATTTGGCATTGCATAAGATCTTTATTTTTTAAAATACTTTCACTATTTCTTGTTTATACCATTTTGCATAGAGGAGAAATGCAGTGGTAATATAAAAATTAAAAAAAATATTTCACTTCTGAAATAATAATAGCACCTAATATCATTAAATGATAAAACTAAATTTTTGCTAATGAATAAAATTCATAATACTCATCAATTAAATTAAAACTCAGTATGAAAATATGCAATTTTTGTTTCTGCATTTCATTCTTGAACACAAAATTATATAAAAAGGAAAGTGAGAATAAATTAAAAAAAATAAGGATGTTATACTGCATGCTTATAGGCGAGTCAGATCAACAGACTCATTGTTTCTCATGTCGAATGGAAGATAAAAAAATTTAACTCTGTACTTATAATTTTCTGTGTTGTCACATTATAAGCATATTTTATTCTGACTGTTCTATTTATTTTTCAGTACATAATCTAGTTACATGATTCTTAAAAATAAATATATATAAATAAAATGACACATATTTTCTATAGAACAAAATTCTCTAATAGCTGCATATATTTAATTTGAAGATGAAATTATTACTAGAATTTCATGAGAAAACTGCAGTACTCTTATCCGCAAGGTCAAAATGATTAGAACACTTTCCAGATTCTAACGTGCGGATCTTTAGAACTGAAATCACAGGCAAGAAGCAACCCAGTCATTTTGTGAGTCCTGGTGAAAAGGGTAAAGATAAAAATTTTATTTCAGCTGAAACTAAGACTAGCATATACCAAATGTAGTGCTCATGACAAAGAATGTATTAACATTGCATGTCAACACTACCTATTTTGCAAGTACAGAAATAAAGGGATTTTTATTCACTTAAAAATCAATTTCCTAACCAATATCCAAACAACTATTATTTATTCTAAAAAATATTTGATACTCATAGAATTTCATTAAATTCATTTCTGTGCTTTATAAATACAAATTTTAAGGATTTACAATTTCTCTCCAAATGCTACAGAACAAGGAAAAGAATTTCCATAGCAATAACAAAGAATTTCTGGTTGTATCAGCTCTTGACAAAAGAACAAAATCATGTCTAGAGGGTAAATTATTTTGATTTGAAAAAGTGAAAAATTTTAGCATACCAGCCATTTCATCTGGGTGTGGCCTTTTACCCTTAGCTGGGAAAACGATGCAATCTTTAATATGATGCAGACCAGGAACATCTACTGCTTTTAGTTTCCTTACATCTCCTGGATGCATGCAAGGATTTTTTGTTACAACTACAGTCCCTGAAATATTGCAAAATATAAAATATTTATATGAACTTTGATACATGCATTCAATTTATACACATATAAATGCAAATACTGAGTTGATACAAAAGTTCATCTGGTTTTTTGGCACTAAGATAGCACTGCACCACAAAAGAAAACTGTCCTCTACTTCATAAATTTAAAATTTGATTGAAAATGACTAAAAGAATTTAATCAGTTCCTGAGGGGGGAAAAAAGGTACTTGTGTATTATCGCAACCACCTTGGCAGAAACCAAATTAACTCTGGCAACCATCTGCATAATAGTTCTTTATATAATCTTATTCATTGTAAGTTGCAATCCAAAAATTCATGGTTTTCTTCTGTAAAAAACCACTCAAATGTGCCAAGGTGGTTGTATTAATACAAAAGTACTAAAAGAACTATGTTATTTGGTTATATTTTCCACAATTCCACATCACATATCATACATTAAAGACCCACCAGTGGCTGAGAGGTAAAGCTGCTTAATACTAGTAGTTCAGTTAGAGGTTAGAATCCCACAAACGGGCTGGCTGATTGAGCACTAGATGTATGCAAGCCATTTCCCCTTTAAAAGTCTTCACAAAGGCATGCCTCCCATTATGAGATAGACCTCGAGGCTTTGCTATAATCACATAAATAAAACCAAACTATAGGAAGTTTAAAAAAATCAAAAACAATTTTAATCTTAGCAGTGCAGCAAGTTTTGGATGATTAGCTGCGGCTGAGGGAACAAAACATCCTCTTTAATTGAATGTGATTGGCGCAGAGAGCAAAGAAAAATTCTTGAAATCAATCAGCTACCAATATCATATCAACATGAAATGGTTAGCAAGAGCAATATACGGGTACCATGTTGGTTAACAGAAAAGAAATTCATAGATCAAATTTCTGTCTGTGATTCTCTACTGTAGAAAAATGAAATTTATTTATTTTTAAAGTGGATGGTTAAAGGTGATGAACAATTAATTTACTGTACATAATAAGGTTAAGGATAAGAGATCATTGTGTATGTCATTGCTCTTTCAACTGCTGCAAAAGCCAGTTTAACATGCAAACTTTTGTTGTATATTTAATGGCCCTGGAAGGAACTATTTTTATAAACTACTATTTAAAACTTCACCATTAATTAAGACAATAAAGTTTACAACAATGTGAACAAACTAAAGAAACTGGCCAGAAGCACCTTAAATTAGCCAACAGAAAAGGCATTGATTCTACCAAAACAATACTAAACCACTGTCTTGATGGATTATGACTTCGGCAACCCAACTTACAACTTGACTGGGATGTTTCCCCACCCCCCATCATGCTCTTCTGGCTGCATCCTCTAACTGAGATTTGTTTAGATCATTATAAAACAGAACGATGGTTTCAATATATGTTTTCCTTTCCATGCCTTAAAGGTTTTGCTGGAGATATGCAGATCTGTAAGGCTTCTAATTTTGTTTGTGAACTTGATGATGGCCAACTTTCTTCTGTAAGGGGCAACACTCAACTTACCCAGGACATTATCGTGCTCATGAACAAAACTACTGCATCCCCAAGGACCTGAACACTACAGTGGATACCAGCGCATGTTGACATTTACGGAGATAACCAGGCTGATGGCCTTGCCAAAGATGACCAAAATAGTTCTCAACTTTCCAACAGCTTAACCATTACCAATGCTGATGCAAGCAGCAGCCGAAGACTTACTTCCCAATCAATCAAGAAGAATTCTATTCCTGCACTAAATTGTAACCGCGTCATTTCCACTACCATAGCCAGACTGAGGACAAAACACTACTTGAAAGGAATGAAGATATCCTCTGATGGTCAATGAAATTATAAAAGCTGTCCTCACTGTATTGATATCGATTTTTCTCCAAACCATCTCTTTGACTGTCCTGCTATTTTGGCTAAGCTCTTCAGTATTGATATAGCTCCCTCGCACCAACTCCTCTATTCTTCTAAAATTATTGATGTTGCTGCAGCTGTTCTTTTACTTTGGACCCTATTTGACTCCTCTGCACTGACGCCTTGGTCAAAACAACATTTCAAAACAGATTAAAGACTAACAACTTTTACTATCTTAAAAACATTTTTAAATCACATGATCAATTCATTAGCCAGAATCCTCAGGTCTATGGGTGCAGGATTATACAGCAAGTAGAGGTATGAAAAAAGATCATCAAACAGAATGGGACATGCTATATCGATTAAATGTAATTTTTAGTATTTTCACAATTTCTATCAAAAAAAAAAAAAAAAAATGTAATGAACATTTGTATCAACCAAATAACATACATCCACTTCTTCATCCACACATAAATAAAACTTTTTCTGTCAAAATATGCTCTTTTTCATAATAAAGGGCAAACTGAACAAATAAATGCGTAAGAAATTTCTGCCACCCTCAATGTCACTTGCCATGGCATCTTATATTTGTATGGCTTCAATCCTTATATAAAACTTCTTCCCCAATTGCATTTTGGAAGACAAGAGAAAATAGCTGCATGCCAACAGATCTGTCAGATGGGTAGATATAGAATGGTACAAACTTGTTTTCTCTTCTTTTCCTAAATTCGTGTATTTTGATAATTTTGTGAAGAGAAGTGAAAAACATCGTGTAGTAAGTACCAGCTTCCAGCTCTTGAAATTCTGGATTAATTATTATAGTTCTTGGCTATAAATATTCCAGTACTCTAACAAATACAGCCTATGAAAGTTTTAACCTTCTGAAATGAATCACGAAAAACAATTTTTACTGCCTCATTTGACCTTAAAAATTGTCACAATGCATGATTCATCATTTCCATGATGACTATCTACAAACATTTGATTTCTAGACCAGTGGTCACCAACCGGTGGTAAACGAAAACTTTTTGATAGTCCGCAGAAAAATTGGGACATTATTTATATTTTTATGAAGATTCAGTTTAAAAAATGAGGAGTAACAAAACCTATTAAGGAATATGGATTATACTTAAATTTTAGCTTTAACTCTTAGCGAAATTTATTCTGAATTTAGCGACTTTTTAGCTACTTTTGCAGCTGTATCTAGACACATTTGAAAGTTAGAGATGGCATCCATGGATATGCTGCTGTTATCAATAAATAGCGCTAACTGGAATTCTCTTTCCTTTTGAATTACAAACATATGCTATTGTAGTCGTCAATAACACAATTTTTCTCCATGTCAACAGGCAACTTGATGGATTTTTATAAGAACCATCTGCATTCTTATTTATAATTGCGTCACTGGAAGTTCCAAGACTAAAGAGAAGGGCTAGCTCATAGAGCGTTTCCCCCTGAAACAAGCAGTGAGGAGTGATGACGTAGCAATGATGCCACTGAGCGCGGAGATGCAATTGACAACATAAAAGTTAGCGTTTTAAATTTGAAGAACCAGCACTTAAAATGAGCTGTGTCTGAAAGATGGCTTTAATTTGGAAGAGACAATGCTACTGCAGTATGCATTTTGCACTGAACATTAGAAAATTTAATAGTACTTACTCAATTTTAAAATAATAGATAAAATGCGCTACTCTTAGCATAAAGTTCCTTTTTTTATTTGCAGGGATTTTTTTTTTTTAAATGTCTGTTTGTTTCTAATCATTTCTTTATCTGCATGTTAACTAAGACAACTGTACTACTGCTTCTAAGATAACTATAATAACGGCTATTTAAAATTAATCAAAAAACAACTTAAATTGGCATAGTTTTAAACATGTATGGTTATATATGGCAAAATTTCTGCTAATCTAAGTTTGAGTTTCAGCCTAATTGTAAATTTTACATTGGCATATTTTTCTCCCGATTCAATATAATAACATATATTTTTTTTTTTTAAATAATTTTGTAACTTAGGCTTACATCAATATTCATTTAAATAAATACATGTAAGATTGTTATCTTAATTTACACAAAACAACTTTACTCACAGTACCTAAAATAATTATTTAATTTTTCAAAAGTGGGGGTTAAAGGAGCAGGTCTTCTTATGCCATTTACTTTAATACTATACTTTATATATATTTTATCTAGAATGCTAAGCTAGCACAAAATCGAATCAATAATAACAGAGGATACAATAAAAATAACTGTAACAATAACTTAACAGAATTAGTTCTCATTTGAAATATGCTTTACGCTATTAACTTCTAAAATGCCATCTAGAAATACTTCAAATCAAAACATATTATATATGCTTACTTGTACAGTCGCAATGCAACTAGAAGTTGTTGAAACATTATTTATTGGCTGCCACATTCGAAGCAATCCATTTTTTCGCCTTTTGGGTTGCTTTTCTTTGGGGAAAAACATATGCATTTCTATTTAAGAAATTTATTCTAATAAAAGTTCTCACTCTGCAAAATAAACGAATTGCTTTTCTGTTAACTTGAGGATAATGTTTCTCCAGTTTATTAATTAAAGAGCCAATTACATGCTTCCCTTTATAGTAAGTTGTACCATGAACTGCACAAAATATGTTTTCGAACTCGTAAACTGTATTCATCCATGAATGAGAAGGTGTAGTCAAACCTCCTAAGGACAATAATTTAATCCATTCTGAATTAAATATTGGTTCATCAGCACTAATTTTAGATATTGTTCCCAATGATGGGTCTTTGTCTCGCACACGATAGGCAATATAACGTGCAACATATGTTAATGCTTCTTTTTCAGCTGTCAAAAATTGTCTGTCGGAATTCAATTCTAATTCCCAAGCCATAGGAGAAAATTCCTCTATGAAATCCAAATCCAAATCATCAATAGTATTTAATGGAAAAGCATCTTCCTCCTCAGTTTTCAAAGCCCTTTTTCAAGTATTTCGGATGTTAAATATGAATCATATTTCTGCTTTTTTTAGTCATGCATACTTTTGAAGATAAATCTGGCAGCTTATTAGCGAGTATTAATTGCTTTAAGCGGCGTATAACTTCACTAGGTGATGGATGGTCATTAAACCTACCAAGCCCTCGAATCTGACTAAAGAGACTTTCAAGTGCA